TGGTTCGGGCGCCGAGCCCAGTTGCGTGAGAGGCATGGCCCGTAGGCATGACGGATGCCCGTCGCCCAGAGGAGGAGGGCGTCAACCCCTTGCTTCCGGGACGCGGTGATTTGGGAGCAGCCTGGAGATGGTCCGTGGCGAGAGAGGAAGTAGAACTGGTCAAGATGTTTGCCTGGCTCTGCACGGGGGCGGGCTGCACCGATTTTGACTTGACGCTCCTGGCGGTGTTGGCAAAGTTGCGGGTGGTTTCCGAGCCTATATCGAGAGAGGTCCTGGTTACATCACTGGACCTCTCCGCCCCAAAGAGGCTGGGACGTCGTTTCGAGGAGCTTCGCGTCAGTGTTTCCGCGTCGGCGACGACGCCGGGGCCAATCGACTTGCGAGGGGGTTTGGCGGAAATATTGGAGCCAGAGACGGGCGGATACTGGCTCTGTCGGCGAGTGCGCAGTCCAATAGTGGCCGTGGAGGCATCGATGGAGCCGGACGTTGTCGAGATGGACGAGGCGCTGTTCTGCCTCGACGCGCTTGGTCTGTGGAGGATGGATCCCGATCTCGAGGTTCGCGTGGAGGCCGGGACACCCACGCGTGTGGCACCGCCATTGGCGGCCTGCTTGTCGGACAGCCTCCTGTCGGACATGCTTAACGAGGATTCAACGTCACTCGCTGACGCTGCGGGAGATGATGGATACTTGTTCCGCCGCGGCTCACTGTTGCCTGAAGCCGCGGACTCGATGCTGGTGTGGAGGTCGTCGAAGCTCACAGAGGGTAGAAAATCGTAAGAGCCGGTGGTGGTGGTTGCTTGTTCTGTGTGGCTCGCCTGTCCATTTCGACCGTAGGAAAAATGCGAGCGGTTGTTGGATGATGCGGTGCTGAGCATTGGGGAGTTGGAGACCGAGCTGCTCCTCGAGGATGCCGTCGGTACACGGCTGGATGATCTGGTGTAGGTTCTGCGGTTGCCGGGGCATCAGGTTAGCACCACTTCTGCAAGGTACCTTTACTGCGTCCAGCCCTTTGGTGTCCTCCCCAAACGAGGGTGATGAGGCTGGATGATTGATTAGGAGCGTCCTCCTCCTTCTGTCTCTGCGTCTCTCTCTCTTCCTCTTCCTCTTCTTCTTTTCTCGTGTCTCTTGGCCTTTTGCGGGAGTTCGAGGTCTTACAATCGAGGGGACGTGTTTGCCGGTCGAGGCCCAGCAGGCGCCTTGTGCTTGAGGGTCATAGAGGGAACAGCGTCGCGAGGTGGTGGTGGAAGCGAACGATGCAGGTGCGCGGCAGCGTCTTGCGTCTGGCACGCAGTTTCGCTCACGCACACGCACACGCACACGAATGAGGGTCGAGAGTCGCTGGAAGCGTCACAGCCTCAGTCCGGTCAGGGAGCTGAGAGCGTTCGAACGGCTACCTCATTCCGAGCCGAGACCTGGTTCTGCGATGCGAGGGCGGTGGCTGCGAGGCAAGCGCGGGTCTGGTGGAAGCTTGCGCTGGGCTTGCGAGACGCCGACGGCAGGCCTGCCTCCAGAAAACTGTTTCGATGCGTGAGGCGAAGAGGGTTGGTTGGGAAAAACGAAAGGGGCGGCTTGAGGAGCAGAAGCGTCCAGGTCTGTTGTTTTGCGAGCATCGGGGGTTGCACGCTTTCGGGTTCAGGTCGTTTCCAGCGGGCTTTTGGGGCGCCGGGGCCAGCCTGACCTTGGCCTGCCTGGGGGTGCTACGGCACCGGCCACAGCACGTTCTGGCACCTAGGAACGCTCCAACTACTGCCGCACTAGCCCCAAAGGCCGCTGGCTGCTGGCTGCTAGAAGGGTCGGTCAGGCCCATGGGGGGGCCCTGAGTCGCGGTACCTTGGGCTGGTGGCCACTTTGGCGGCCGGTGCTGGCGAGGTTGCGGTACCTGGAGGTGTGGAGCATGCGTGAGGCTCTGGGTGGCAACGGGGCTGTAGCGCGAGGGGAAGAAGCGAGCGGCGAAGTACCGATACTTTGAACACGAGGGCAGTTGACTGTCAAGATCATGCCAAGCTGGGGTCAAGACCTGCCTGGCGGTACCTTGGGCGCAAGTACCGTGGCAAGGCGGTGCAGGCCCAAGAGCCCCGTACGAGCTGGTGGAGTTGGCGCGCTCGTCAATAGCAGGTTGTGTACTTTGGCTTGCCGTATTCACGGCTTCATCCTTTTTCATCATATCTAAGGTAGTACATTAGTGATCTTCAATGCTCGCTTGGTTCCATGTTCGATGCTCGTAGACCAGTACGAAGGACTGCGTTGTCGACGCATGTCTCGAGTAATTAGACGCTGGCTTATACGGCTAATTGCCTACCCCAGGACCATGCCAAATGCTACATACCGGGCAGTCGAGCATCAAAAACTCCATTTCTGTAAAATGAGGAGTATGAAACATGAATCTTTCTGTCAATTTCAACTGAAATCCCATTCAATGTTTGGCCAATGCCTGACTAATCCTTCCCTTGCCCCGATTGTTTTGAATGTTCAATTGAATTTACCCCGTCAATCTCTTTACCCCATGAAGCAAACTGGTGAAGCTTGCCGGTTCGAGAACAAGCATGGAAATGTTAAACGATCGAGTGTACAGCCTTGCCTCCTAAGTACTCACTGCCCTGTTGCATGCCATGTCTCTATTGAGATCCATTTCTTTGTGTTCCTTTCTCTTTTCTTCAGCTTCCTTCGATTTCTCGATTGTATGCGAATTGTGACCGAAAGCGGATACTCCCTCGATCCGGCATCCAACCTTGCCTAAGCGCCCACCTCACGGGTCCAAATCGAGCAGATGTATACAAACGGAAAGGCAACAAAATCCCCCATGAACGGGCGTCATCTGCCGGTGGCGCTGAATAGATACCCGCACGAAGAGAGAAAGAGAAGGAAAAAGGAGAGTGGCCCGGTTTCTTCCTCCTTCATCTTGCTCGCCTTCCATCTCGCCTATCATTTACCCATTCTCCACACTCCAACCCCTCCATCTAACATGAAAGCAGATTCGCTTTACCATTCATCATGGAACGACCACGCAAGAATCGATATTGATACAGCTTTTGTTATGACAAGCAATCCGGGATCGACGAGCCAATATCGACACAAGAGACAAGGGACAAAGAGGGCAAAGGAGGACTTCCCCTGGCAGGCCGTATGTGCCTTGTCGCTTCTGCTCTGTTTCTGCACCTTGGCTCCGTTTGTCTGCCATCCGCATCATCACGCGCAGGTCATGCGGTTCATCACCGTGGTCCCTTTGCCGTATTTGTCACACGTCCTTTGCAGAATGGCGCACATTCGTCTGGCCGACTCAGGTGCGTCCACGTATTGCCATGCATTTGAAGCAGTTGCATGTTAGACAGGAGACATTGGACGGGCCTTGGCCTTCGCTTATGCCCATCCATACTTCGTACATGATGCTAAATGTCACTGATGGGGATGGGTGCGGCCTTGCAGCAGCGCCCTGGGACGCAGCAGTGATACGGTACCTCGTCACCAACATACCCAAGGTACACAGGCGTTTGTAGGGTACCATTGAGTATCCCATCCTGTCAGTCTGTTTGCCGTTGCTGCAGTTGCCGCTGCATGGATCGAGCTCTAGATGTTTGTTGATGCGCCGTGCGTCCCGTTCTGGAAAATGGCCTCAGCCCGGGTCTCCGTTCTCTCTGCCCGCCCTCCGGTCCTGTCAACGTGCCAATGGGACCGCTCTGGTGCTTGCAGAGTGGCGCCATGATTGGCTGTCAGTGTCAGATCTTGCAGGGCTCTTTCAGCACTTGTCTGCTGGTGCAGCTGTTGAGGTGCTCCGTTCCCAGTACGGAAGCTCTCGTGCTATGACATCTCCATTGTTGGGTATTGTTTGGGCGCCGTATGGGCCGTGTTGGGTTGCCATTGTCATCCTTTGACGGAGCGTTCGTTCTTGACGGAGAGGCCTACTTGTTGGGTTCTTGGCCCTAACGTCTGATGTTCTCTGTCGGTCTGGCGTGTCTCGTCACGACGGTACAGGCTAAGCCTCCGTGATACCACCTGTACGATACTATAAACCAAGTCGATGGCACACAAAAACACAAGGAGCACCAGAACCAGAAACAAGCATCTGCAACAAGCCAAGCCATTCGAAACCTTTCAGACTTGACAAGGTGCGGAGCGCAACCGACATGGGGAGGAGGGACGGGCAGATCCCCAAGATTGATTGCTTTGCTCCATCGCATCCACTCAAGCCGTCACAGCAGCTTCTGCACTGTTGTGTCATCGGTCCGCCACGTATCTCTGGAGATGGAGCCGCAGCAGCCGTCGACTTTGTTTATCCGCCGGGCCTAAAGCCGCAGTTGTGCATATTCTTCTCGTGCTACTGCTGCTGAACCTAAATAGCCCAGCTTCCTTTGCGGTGAGGAGGCCCCCGTAGCCCGCTTTTGGGGGCCCTATCGACTGTTTTGATGTTAGATCAGCTCCATAACTTGTCACAGCCCTCTTTACAGCTGAGTGATGGGGGACGATGGTTGATTTTGACTGTCAGGTGTTCATTCGTGCAGCCAGACCATGGATGCCGATGGAATGGCTGCAATGTCCTTGCTCTCTCGAAACGTTGAAATCATACACCGAGACACAACAGATTGAATCTGGTGCGGCGACCCTCCAATTGCACCCTTCTTCATTTAGCGGCCGCCGGCTAGCGGCTCTCGTGTTCCCCAGCATGAAAATGGGCGAATCAGTGAATTTCCATAGCTTGGAGTGTGTGATTAGGTTTTGTGTGTGTGTGTGTGGGAGTGGGAAAGGGAGTGAAGTGCTTGTACTCGTACCAAAATCATTTGACGGGCTGCAAGAAGTCAAAGTGTGGCGCCGCACCCTTTACAAGCCACAAATGGTGAGATCATCGCCTGGCCTTCGCGCGTCACATGCCAAGCTTGATCTCAGCTCGACCTCTCTCTACAAACCAACCGTCCTCCATCCCCTATCGCAGCAGCAATCATCCCGCGAATCATGAGATAGAGCTGATAAAAAACACCGCGGCGCTGGGCCATCTCACCACATGCCATGGACGACTTCGCCGCAGAGCTGATGGCAGCCGGCCGCGACGACTCGCCAGAGCGACCGCCTGAGCGAAAGGCGCCCGCGGAACTCGACCCGTCTACGGCGTCGCCTCAGCGCATCGGCCTGCGATCCGGCCTTGCAGCTCTCCGAGAAAAGGCGAACATACAAGATCGCCTGGTAGAAAAGTCAGTTTTACTATCGGTTATAGAGAAAAGCAACTACAAAAAAATGCTAATGGAGGGGCATCCTAACGTCGCAGGCTTCTTCAACAAGTCATCCCCGATGAAGACCGCCATGGTGGCCCAGAGGTCACCATATCGAGCGCCGACGATGCGGCATTCCCGCAGCGGCCGGGCTTCAACCTGACCACCATGTCCAACAACTTCCGCCGATTCAACGCCCGCATCGGCGTCGTCTTCAAGTTCCAGGCCCGCATGACCCGCATCCTCTCCTGGCGCAAGCCCTCGCACACGCTGTCCCTGCTCGCCACGTACACCTTCGTCTGCCTCGACCCCTACCTTCTCTGCGTCCTGCCCATCGTGGGAATCCTCCTGGGCGCCTTCATCCCGGGATTCCTGGCGCGACACCCGGCACCGCCCAAGGGCACCCTCTCGAGCGAGCAGAGCATGGGCTACTCGCCGAGGGGCCCGCCGCTGGCGCCCGCGGCCACGGTCCGGCCGGCCAAGGAGCTGAGCAAGGACTTCTTCCGCAACATGGGCGACCTGCAGAACTGCATGGACGACTTCACCCAGGGCCACGACATGGTGGTGGCGCTGCTCGTGCCGATTAGCAACTTCAGCAACGAGGCGCTCTCGTCGGCCGTCTTCCTCTTCCTCTTCGCCGCGGGCGTCTTCCTGTCCGTCGCCGCGCACATGATCCCCTGGCGCCTCGTCTTCCTCGCCGGCGGCTGGGCGGCCGTCGGGTCGGGCCACCCGGCCGTCGCGCGCCTGCTGGCCGCCACGCGCGAGGAGCACATCCAGCCGCGCGAGCGCGAGGCCCGGTCCTGGCTCGACGCCTGGATCGCGACCGACGTCATCCTCGACTCGGCGCCCGAGACGCGCGAGGTGGAGATTTTGAGCTGCAGCGGCAGTCGGCGGCCGGCGAGTGGGAGCCGTGGCTCTTCAGCCCGTCGCCGTACGACCCGCTGTCGCAGCCGCGCATCGCCGGGGAGAGGCCTCGCGGGACGCGCTTCTTCGAGGACGTGATGCCGCCCGAGGGCTGGGAGTGGAGCGAGAAGAAGTGGGCGCTCGACCTCTGGAGCAGGGACTGGGTCGAGGAGCGCATCATTACGGGGGTCGAGGTTGAGACGGAGGGGGAGCGGTGGGTGTATGATATATACGACGACCGAGAGAGGCGCACTGGCGTCTTGGACGATGATGATGAGAACCAGTCTGATACCAAGCCGAGCGGTCGAGCTGGGGGGATGCCGCACCTGAGTTGGGAAGAGGGCGAGGACGGGACGGGGAAGAAGGGGGAATGGAGGCGGAGAAGGTGGGTGCGGTTGGTGAAGAGGAAGATTTCTGTGTCTGCGGCACAATAGCTGTAATGGGGGATGGAGAAGAAGGCTGCTTCTCTTTACGTTGGTTCTTCGTCTAGTTAGCGATCGTTTTTTAAAGGTCTTCATCTGGTTGCTCTGATAAACTGTGACGATTAATTTGCTGCCTGAGTGATGATGCTACTGCCTAAGGTATATTGTAGAGGCCGATGATGCCGCTTTGCTATGCTGCAACATGAGAGGAAGCTGATTGTATGCAATCTGTTACCCTCAGAGAGAGTAAGGAAAACGGGCAAAGAAAAGAAAGAACGATGAAGGATACAAGGAAAAAAAAAATCATTAACCATGCTTGAAAGACCAAGTCCGCTTCGGCGCCGATTGTGTCCCAGAAAACAATGCACGTTAGAATCATGAGAAACTCCCCCCTCACTGCTTCCAAAATCCCAGCAGCCTCAAGACGAAATCACCATCTTATCCAAAATCTTGTAGATGCCAGCAGCCCTGCCGGACTTGTCGTCCAGCTCGGCCACCATCTTGCGGGCCCTCTCGATGAGGGTGCCGACGACCTGGCGGGTGTAGTCGAAGCTCCCCTTGGAGTCCATGTACGAGACGGCGTAGCGCTTGACCTGCACGTCGGTCGTCTTCTGCTTGAGGATGTTGATGAGCTGCAGGTCGACGGGGTCGGCGCGGATGGCGTGGATGACGGGGAAGGAGAACTTGCCCTCGGTCAGGTCCTCGCACATGCCCTTGTTGTGGCTGTACTCGCTGGACGAGAGGTTCATGTAGTCGTCGCGGATCTGGAAGATGAGGCCGATGACGTCGACGAGGGGCACGCAGTCGACGGCCGACGTGGACTCGGCCTGCATCAGCTTGATGCCGAGGCGGAACAGGCCGCCCGTCTTGTTGGCCACCATCTCGAGGTAGTCGTCCTCGGTCGGGCAGGTCAGCGTGTCGCGCCAGAAGAGGTCCATGCCCTGGCCGCGGTGCAGGTTGATGAGCTCCTCGGCGAAGAGGGCGACGCCCTGCTTGTTGCCGAGCCTGACGAGCTCCTGCAGGGCCGCGAAGTAGATGTAGTTGGCCGAGTTGATGGTCTGGGCGACGCCGAAGATGCTGTGGGCGACGGGGAAGCCGCGGCGCAGCTCGGACGAGTCCTGGACGTCGTCGACGAGCAGCGACGCCTCGTGCAGCATGCCCACGACCTTTGTCACGACGGCCAGGCTCTCGGGCGGCACGTCGAGGAAGGCGTTGAAGGCGGCGATGATCTGGGCGCGGAAGTCCTTGCCCGGGTGGCTGACGACGTACTCAAACGGGCCGCGGACGATGCGCTCCTTGTCGTCGGTCCATGTGCCGCGGCGGCGGAAGTCAAAGTCCTCGTGCGCGAAGCGGTCGACGCTGGGCGGCGCCGAGGGGTTGACCTGGTGCTGCATGCTGTCGAGCTCGACGTCGCCGTAGTGTATTCTCTTGCTGCTTCGCCGAGGCGGAGGTTGAGGATACAAGGGCCGCTTCGTCGCCATGGGTTCCGGGTCCGCGCGCTTGCCTGCTAGCTTTAGCCTGGAGCGCGGGGCCAGCCACTGAGCTTCGCTCTCGAGCTCGATTAGGGGTTCGGGGTCCAGCGAGGTGGCGGCGGGAGCGTCGAGGCGTGGCAGCGACGAGGCCACGGCGTGGGTCAGCAAGGTGAAGCTGTGGCGCTGGGCCGGCGATGGGGACTGGAGCTGGGGCTGGGGCTGAAGCTGGGCTTGATGCAATTGAGACTGCGAATGGGCTCGCGAGTGAGACCGAGACTGCAGGCGTCTGCTCGAGGTCCGGGGAGGGATGATAACGGGCGATGAGATGGTCAACGCGGATTCGGAGTGCATCGTTTCCCGTCAAACGGCGCGTCTTCGCCTGGTTCTTATACTGCCCGTCTGTGGCGCCAGCTGCAATGGATACGCGGCGGGGTGGTGAAGAATCGAACATGAAGAAGACTGGAGGTGCGGAGCACAGCGAAGCAGCGTACATGACATGACATGTGCATACATACGAGTACCTACATGGGCACTTTACCGCATTTCGGGTTCGCCTGGTGGTGACTGAGCTGGACCGGACAGGACGGAGAGACAGAATCGGCGGGGCTTGCAGGTGATGAGGAGCGGCATCTCGCCCGGTGCCCTATCAGACGGCGGGCTCGCGGTGGATTGCGCAGGCGTGCAGATGCATGTTGGCTGCAGCCTTGGTCCTTGGGACTGGCGATGCGCCGGAGAGCCAGGAGCAGCTGCCTGTCTCGCCGTCGGTTTGCCGACTCTGGATGGGCTGTTGGCCGAACCTGCGCAAGTGCCGTGGAGCGTTTGTTGCGTGTCGGCGATGGTGAGAGGCTGGAGAGAGAGAGAGAGAGAGAGAGGCTTGTGAGGATTGGGGAGCCCGCGGCAGGAGACACGTAAGATGGAGCGGAGAGGATTGCTGGTGCAACGGACTTGCTGACGGGGACGGGCTGTTGGGGGTTCACGAGGGGTTGCATGGATGGATGATGCTGATGAAGGCTTTGACGATGTCGAACGGGTGATGCTACCGGAATGGGAACATCGGACGACAGAGAGCTGTTGGGGGTGGTTGATGAGGGTTCATCCAGGTGAGCATTGACATCCAAGCCTCATCCAGACAACAGAGCGCCGCTGATGGTTGATCTGCGCGACTGTTTCGATCTCTGTGATGATTCAACCCCAGCAGAATAGAGACTATCGCCAATTGGACTGCTGGGAGGCATCATGTGGCAATTGACGCTGAAACTGGATCGCCATCGTGGACCAGGATGGCGAAGCGAGCAGCGGGAAATCGACTCGATGTAACATGTGAAATGCAGCTCGAGTCCGTTTGAGCTCCAGCACCGGCTGGTATGAGCATGGTTTCGTCGGTTCAATTGCTTGATTCCCTTTAGCCCGCTGCCTTGTTTCGAAAATAGAACATCGAGCTATTGATACGACACGTGCCTTACATAATGCAGTCTGCTATGTATGTAGGTATGTATGTATATCCCAGTGCCGGTGATGAAATGCTGGATCAAGGTGATAAGCTGGGGAGGTTGAGTGATGCTGGCCCATGATACATGATATGCAGCTTCATGTCATCCCAGTGTCATTGTACTTTGTACCGTCAGGTAATACTTTCAGCTTGATGCACGGGTGCATGAACTGAGGCCTGCACGGCTGTGCCTGTTGCTCCGCAGCCAATGCTCTCGAACCAGCAGCTGCACCTCAGTTTTATAAGCTTATTGGTCGGAACTGAACTGCCCCCTTGGTCAACAGCTCAATCAACAGCATCAAGACAACATCCTGTCGAATCGTCGTCAAATCATGATTCACGGCCCAGGATCGTCATCGTGCACTTGTCGTGTCGCTAATACCAAATGGCGTGCAGCGTTTCCGTTCCGCGCTGCAAGCACTCAGCGCTGCCCAGTTCCAGGGCCTGGCCGGTCCCCCGTTCGGCCCTCCCGCCAGGCGCTAGCAGCTGTCCCCGTGGCCACCGCAGTGGAGCTCCCTCACTGTCCAACCCCGCCTACAGGGCCCCAAGCTGCCAATTTACGGCGCGTCAGTGGCCTGGAGCCTCCCTGTAGCCTGGCCGTGGCCTCCACTGCAGCCTGCCTTGGCCCGTCCGCCAGCTGCGTCTCCCTTCTTCGAGCCCGCCGTTGCCGGGGAAATGAAGCCGCAACCAAGTATGAACGGGGCCCGACCTTGATTTGATGGCTGAACCGGCGCTCTGGAACCTTCCCACACAAACACACATACACACACATACATACACTCATTTCTACGGTTACTGACTTGACGCAGTGGCTTTTACTACTCTCATTCTCTCCCTTGCGTGTTATTCCACTCTCTCACTCTTTACACGTCTTTTCCTTGCAGTTGTCATTCTTCATCTTGATACCCCCAATGCCTTGCTTCTTCCTCCTTTTCCTCTTGTAACAACATCTTTGCGTGTCACCGGCGCTCTGTTTGCCAAGCTGCATCTTCATTCAAAACCACCTTCGCTCGTTATCAAACAACCACACAGACGTCATCCCAGCCCCCCACTATAAACAAAGCAAACAAAAGAAAACAAGGAAAAAAAGACAAGAAATAAGGCTCTCATTTCGACTACTCCCCCAAGCTTCTTTGTCCTTCCCTTTGTTGTTTCTCCTGTCCGCCATCCCGAGTTCAGTCTCACCCGCCGCTATCGGATTACATACATACCGAAGAACCACCAACCGCCCCCGATGGAAGCCCTCCTGTCACTCGCTTTCGATAACCTGTCCTCCTACGACGGCCCCAAGATCCGCAAGGGGCTGCGCCAGGTCGAAGGTCTGCTGGCGCAAATCTGCCTGTCCAATAGCTCCTCGGGGCGGACTCGATCCTCTTCCCTCTCCTCGCCTGCGGCTGGCCACGACGACGACGGCGATGCCTCGGGTAATGCCCCTCGCAAGGATCTCGCCCAGCTCACCCAGGATCCGGCCTTTCGGGAGTTCTTCAAGCTGCAGGAGGGATTCGAGTGGAATGTCGCCATGCGCCTGACCAGCACGCTGGACCGACTCATGGCCAAGGGCAGCGACGGCCAAAACGACCTGCTCATCCTCAGTGCGCTGGATCTCATTCAGGGCGTCATGCTGCTGCACCCTCCAAGCAAGGCTCTTTTTGCGCGGGAACAGAATATGAATGCAAGTGATGATGACTCTCTCTCAGGGAACCCCTGTCACCAAGAAATGCTACCCACGCTAACCCGTGCCCGTCCAATAGCTCTTACTTGATCTTCTCGAGCCCTACAACTGCCCGGCGATCCAGTCTGCGACTCTCTTGACCCTCGTCGTCGCCCTCATCGACACTCCCAACAACACGCGCACCTTTGAGGGGCTCGACGGCCTCCTGACCGTCACGTCGCTCTTCAAGTCGCGATCCACCTCGCGCGAGGTCAAGCTCAAGCTGGTCGAGTTTCTCTACTTCTATCTCATGCCGGAGACGCCCTCGACGAGCCCGCGCGTCGACCAGCGGGAGTCTGTCTTTCAGCAGCGCAGCCCCTCGAAGCTCTCGGGCGCATTTGGCGCGGACGGTAGAGGCGGCCGCAAGCGTGCCAACAGCAACGGGGTCGTGACGCTGACCACGGCGGAGAAGCAACAGCTCCTGAGTCGCCATCTTAGCAGTGTGGAAGACTTGGTCAAGGACTTGCGAACCTGCGCGCCGTTTGGCGGCATTGTATGCTGAGCTGGTACCAGCATATAAACACAATGGCACGGGGGCAACAGGACCCTCGGCATTTTCTTTTCTTCCCTTCCTTTTTTTCTTCTTTTTCTTCTTTCTTCTTCATCTTCACCTTCTTCTCTTCTTCTACCCTCCTTCTTCTAATTACACCAATTCACTTGCAGGAACTTGTTTTCTTCATACCCCTCGAGCTGGCCTCTTCATTGGGTGTCGGATTTTTTGGTGGCGTTGGGTCGGATTGACAATTCACTTTGTTTTCAAGTGACTGATAGCATGTAAAAGAAATAAACAAAACATACATGCAAAGATTTCTTCTGGATTCACGTCTCCTAGCTCTCCATCCTTGACGGCTAGGAAACACCCTTCAGATCTCTGGACTTGGGCGGTTTCGTGTACATGTAGGCGTCTTGACTCAATTGATGGGCACCCGAAGCACCCAAGACAAGATCCCTCTCCTCCCGAATGACTTGTTCTGCCCTGTCTTTTTGTCATGAAAGCTATCAAACTCAAGGCCTATCCTTTTCGGAACCCTGATTCACGTCCGGCAAGGGTGGACTGGGCAATGGACTCGCCGGCGAAGGCATCATCATCGGCCAATTCCCCTCGGAACCATGCAACTCGAACCGCCCATCCAGCGTCTCCGGCGTCCTCAGCTCCGTGCCGCCAAACGCCATGCTGCTCACGCCCGACCTCGGCGACAGCACTCCCTCGCCGGAAACCTCGCTCAGGAGCTCCCGATCGGCGCCTAGCTCGACGGGAGGATGACGATGATGCTGATGATGATCCGGGGGGGCGGAGGACGGAGAGCGGAGGGTCCCCGCGTCGGTGACGGCGGCGCCGGAGGGCGTCACGGAGGACACCATTTCCCAGCGCTGGTGGCCTGCCGCGGCGTCGGGGGAAGAAGTCGTCGGTGCGATGGCCATGGGCGCGTCGTGTGCTGCCGGGCCGTTGTTGTTGTTGATGTTGTAGGGGCTCGCGTGCCGGGCTTTGCGGCGGCGGGTGAGGTAGAACCATGCCGCTGCTGCGACGAGGAGGCCGCCGCCCACGACGGCGCCGACAGCGATGCCTGCTTCTGCGCCGGGGGAGAGAGAGCCCGAGCCGCCCCCTCGAGAAGACGAGGAAGAAGAGTCATCGTCGCCTGCTGCTGCGAGGGTGCTCGTCGGCCCGCCCGTCGCGGTGGAGCAGTATCCCGATCCGCCAAACGAGGTGCACGCCTGGCCGTTGTCGCAGCAGCCGTTGCCGTCGGGGCACCGGAACTGGCTGGTGGTGCATCCGTCGTTGGCGACGACGGGCGTGAGGCCCGGCGGCGGGCTGGTCTTTGTGGACACGCAGTGGCCGCCGGCCTGGCAGTTGGAGTCAAAGGGGCAGCAGTTGCCGCCGAGGGAGGGCGCGCAGAGGTAGAAGCTGGTCTGGGGACAGGCGCGGCCGCAGCAGCCCGTGAGGACGGTTGTTGTTGTTGTCCTTGCGCCTGCTGCTGCTGCTCTGCTGCTGCTACTGCTGGGGAAGGATGATGTTGCTGTTGTTCTGGAGGAAGAAGAAGAGGAGGCTGTGAGGGTGATTGTTCGTGTGACGGAGCAGCGGACGGCGGTGGCCGGGCAGGGGTTGTCGGAGGTGCAGGCCTGGCCGATTGCGCAGCATTTGGGCTGGTTGGAGGAGTTGACGTAGCAGTAGCTGTTGTTGTCGCAGCAGCGGTCGCCGTGGCCGATGTCGAGGCCTTCAAGTGTGCATGGCCATTGTCAGCTGTTGTGTTGCGGTGATGGGGGGGTATGTAATATGGTGGTGAGACGACAGGAACGTGGGTGGTAGTAGTAGAGGCTGAAGGAGGAGGAGGAGGAGGAGGAGGAGGAGGAGGAGGAGGAGGAAGCCAGTCAATCATCTCGTCTTACAGCTGTGTGCGTCGTCGCCACACGATCCCTCGCGCTTGAACAGCGGATGCGACCTGTCGACGAAATACCGCGGCGTCAGTCCGTCCGGCACGAGCTGCTGCACGGCGGCGTATCTGCTGTCCCTGACGGCGGCGCTGGCGGAGGCGAAGAGGCCTGCGAGCGGGAGGAGGGGGATGAGGATGAGGGGGAGGAGCCTCATCGTGAGTCGGGCGACAGGGGCATCCTTTTTGTTCTATCTCTTCTTAACCCTCGCTTTTGATTGAACGGACTCTGGAAGTCAGCAAAGACCGCGACAAAATCTTTGAAGAGCGGGAGAAAAAAACAAGGAAAAGGAAGGAACTCGAGAAATCGAGAGAGGGTAGCAATGTTACAGTAACCTTCATATTAGGAAAGCCTTCGCAGCCTTGTGTGGCCCTGTCGGTCGGTGGCTGCGGGCAAGGACATGGGATTCTGCTTGGGGATGATGACGGGTGTTAGTGATGCAGCTAGAGAGAGGGCTCATGATCCATGCATGTTGCGACGCCCGTTTCCGGGTCTGCTATCCTCATTGAGAAAGAGGACCCTGCCGATGGGATGAAGGAATCAGTCCAGTCAGATGGGGGGATAGAGATGAGCTGCAGATGGGATTTGTCTATTTTGGCCATTCATCGTCCGTCTATATGTGCTTTCCCAGAATAAACACCATGTAGATCTGCTCCATCGCGGTGTAGAATCAACTCCCAGAATCTGTTATTCCACGTCTGCTTGCGGGCATCAGGACTTCTGATTTCTCGAACAAACCGGACATTGACCATATATTTACCCTTCCTTCATCCATACATATGTACCTACCAACGGATGGTTACGTGAGTGGATGCTGCTCTCTCTTTGTGGATGCGCACTTCATTTATTGTGCATGAACGGGGCCGTCTTTGCCCTGTCTCTCACCCCCCCGCTCCGGGTTTGGATGGGTCGAATGGTAGAGCTTTTCTTCTTGTCCTCATTCTGGGGGGGCCTCTAAAAATAAATACCATCGAGCTGTTGCGGAGGGAATAGGGATGCGTTGTTGGGCAGTTTAGGAGCATAAGTGCTTACACCACACCAGAGGGATATGCCTCCAGTTCCATCTTCAGCAGTAATGAGGGTCAACACCTCACATGTTGTGAATCTTTCTTTTTATTTGGACTACACAGCTTACAAACATGACATGGACAACTTGAGAAACAAAAGCCATCGCCCTACAATTTTCAAACACTGTCCAAGATCACAAGACAAAACCATTCTCAACCCGGTACAAGTTCCACCTACTCCCTCTTCACGCCTCTCTCAGCGCAAAACTTGTCCACCTCCTTCCGCAGGGTATCCCTCTGCCGCAGCGCCGCCTCCATAATGTCCTCGGCCACGCTGCCCAGGCCGTTCCGGTGCTTGGCCTTGGTCCGCTCATGCACGTCCACCATCTCCTTGAGCACCGCCTCCAGCTGGTTGGGCAGCCAGGTGACAATGGGGCTGCCGCCGGTGGCCGTAGGATGAGACGTCTGCTTGAGGATGTATTCCCTGGCGAAGCACCAGTGGCGCCAGCGGAAGTCTCGCACCTCGTTGAGGATCTGGATCCACAGGCTGCGAGACTGGCGCAGGAGCTCCTCGTGCTCCTCCGACTCGGGCTCGCCCTTGTAGCCCAGGGCATACGCCTTCAGGTCGAGTTCCTGAGAGCGGCCCTTGACGTACTGCAAGAAGGTCTTGTGGTTGCTGGGTCTATACTCGCGGAAGTCGTTGAGGATGGCCGTCAGGGGGGTGTCGGGCATCGGCAGCTGCAAGAAGTTGTCCATCAGGGGCACCATGGAGTCGTTGGCGCCAGACTCGCCGCGGAACGACATGGGCTTGTTGTCATAGAGGCCCTCGTACACAACGCCGTTGGGGAACATGGACTGCGCCGTGATGCCAAAGATAAAGGTGCGGAAGCTGGTGTAGTCTCGCGGACGAGACTTCCCCCACATGGTCTCCATGACGGCGTTGATCTTCTTCATGGCGGTGACGATGTCGCTGAGCCCTTCGTTGAAGGACCTGCGCTCCTCGATGCCGCCGAGACCAGAGCTTGCCTTGGAAGCCTCCTCCAGACAGCGCACGGTGGCAGCAACGAGGGGCCCAGAGTTCTTGACCATGTCGATGTGGACGAGAACGAAGCCGGCCTCGGAGGAGGTGGGATCGAGGCCGTGCTCAAAGGCGCGAATGAGGCGGATGTTGTCATACTCCAAGCCCTTGGAGGGATCCTCAAGGCGGTAGTTGTAGAGGGCATAAGAGCCAGCGTACTCCATGAAGGGCATGAAGCCAGTGCTGTGATAAAGAGGTCAGCATATTGTTCCATGACTCGTAACCCTAACCCTGAAGGACACGACTCACAGTTCGGCGCATCGAGCAATAGGACGAGCAATGTTCTTGGGTAGAGTCTGACGGCCCAAGCCATAGCTCTCCCCTCTGAGGAAGCGCTCATGGCAAGGCTCGAGAAGATAGGCCGAGGCCAAGAACGAGTAGTCCCGGTACAGGGCGTTCATCAGGGGCAGGTTGTCCTTGTACTTCTCCATCTCATCGGTGAGATCCGGAAACTTGGTGTCGACCTCGTCGCCAAGCTTGCTGTGGGCAAGGAGGCCGGGCTCGCCAGACAGAGTCTTGACGGGCATGCGCTGGAGGATGGACTCGAGCGGCTCAAACTCCTTGGGCAGCGTGGCGATGGGGTCTGCGCGGGGGAGGAAGCCCCGGGTGGTGGACACCAGGAAGGCCGGGAGGGAGTTGTCATCGGGACGGGCATCTGTGAGGACCTCGAAGGGAGGCGTGCTTGTGGCGATGGAGCCCATTGTGTAGGAAGTGAAGTGAAGTGAGGTGAAGGGGAGTGATGAGAGGTGATTGTGATGTGAGATGCGTGTAAGTGGTGATGGTGTAAGTGATGGTAGTGTTATAGAAGCTATACAAGAACGGGCTGGATAGGTTCAATAACAGAGATCTGAGGAGGGATGGGTGGCAAATTCTCAATCTGGCTCTGCTGAAGCTGAGAACTGTCGGACGACTTCCATCACCACTTCCGGGTCCGCGGCGCCGCCTAAGTACCCGGTGGCCGGAATGGATTCCGGCCACGGGTGGGGATGAGGTCACGACGCACGGCGGCGCGAAGCGGGTCGAGACCGCCCTTGTATCGTCTGTCGGCAGCTGATAGAGGAAGGTGTCGGGAGAGGGGAGGGCTAAGGGCGTTGCTTCACGTAACAGAAACATGGCGGAACGCCGTTATTGTCTCTTCTGGCGGTTGGAAAGGGGGGAGCATGACCACGCTGTACCGTGTGTGATGGCGATGGAGCATACTGTTGGTGTTTTGTATGTAAGTCGCCGTTATCTATCGGTTGAGACATGCTCGTGTGTAACGGTGCTTTGCTGGCGGTATATGGATAGAATGAGTCCAGCGTACGTCTGTATATCAGCATCGCCAGTATCCGATGCTCTCTCTGCATCCTCCTCCCTTGCCTCCCCTGATAAGGACTGATGTAAGACAGACAAGACGCCCAACTCCCTTCTGTGGGGGAGGGGCCGGACGCTCCAGCAGGCCTCGCCCCACAGGCTACCGATTCTGCCCGGCCCTTTTACTGGACCATTGGCCGGAATCATTCCGGCCACAGCGGCGAGATCGGACCCGGCCCCTTGCTTGAGCTGACCAGGCCAGGTACGCGCTGCTTTGCGGGCGCTGCCGCACAAAAGGCAAGTACCTCTTGTCGAATCGGCGGCTTCCGTGCAACCCCCGGTGCGCCCTCCGGCTCGTACAGGATGGACGCGCTGCGCGGCACTAGGACGGGGTAGGACGAGGGTTTCTGATAAATAGAAACTGTGTGATTCGTTGGCTTGGTAGGGTTGGGGGATAAGGAAGACGGATAATATCGGGCGTGGGAGAGGAATTTGGATATCCCACGGGTATTCACAAGGTACCTAAGCATGACAAAGAGAAACAGGGAAAGCAGTGAGGAGGAAGACAAGAGAGAGCACGAAGCAACCTTTCCATTTATCATATAACATGTCGAGACAAGATCGCCACTCCAAACGCCTTGTGTTATGTTCTCATCCCCTTGGCCGTTTGTTTTCCATCCGTTTCCCTTATTCATTTTCCGTCCATCCATCCATCCTTCATACGATACGAATCAAGCACCCCTCCACACCGTAAGGAACCCACTCGAGGCAGCCGAGAGCGACACTCGATGATAAGTCGCCGAAGCGTTGAAGCCAGGACCGAGCGGCGTGATTTCAGGCTGCTTTTTTTCAGCAACAACGTCTGTTGATGGCGGGCCGAAGGGCTGAGAAGGATGACTGTCGCTCGAGGCCGTGGCCTCTGCTGGGTTTGCGCTGGCTAGCATGTTGAAGAAAGGGATCATTGCCTTTGATTTGCTTTCCTGGTATGTTTCCGCATCAACAGTTCTGTCCATATTGGACGTCGGACTCGCTTCTGCCAAAATCGTGGGGAACGCCGTCAGCGTGAGTATCCTTGTGGGCATCATGGTGAGCGTCTGCGTAATCAGCGTCGTCAAAGTGACTATCGTGGTTGACTTCGTGGGAGCATCCAGATCTGCCGGAGCCTCCATGAACAAGCCTCCGACAGTAGCTGCTATGTGCGTTGTAAGCCCAGTGTCCGAAATGATGATTGTGAGGTGCTGTGTTGATGTATATAGACTTACTTGTCGGAGCAGCTGTTGGCTCACGGGTCGTCACGACAAGCGTTTCAGGCTTAGAAGGCGTTGAAGGCTCGGACTTGGATTCTAGAGAAGAGTCAGCTTTGGACAACATCATGTTAAAGATTTCTTCCTCGAGAAACTTGATCCTATCGAGGATGGTCTGCAAGTGGTGCTGGGAAACTTGGATCGTGGTCTCATGGCTCTCCTCTGCAGCACGCGCGGCGATCAACTTTGGAGCCTGGTGATACGGGGACATGTCAGCAGAGATTTGGTGAACATGTCTGTGATTTGGAAGAGCGGGATGGCTGTGATGAGGTGCTCTTCCACTGTGGTGGTGGGCGAAGCTCAGGGCGAGGCCGATGAGGGGAAGGTGCTCGAGAAGGACCATGGTGAGGGATGTTGTCAAAGTGATTGCAATGGAGATGTGAAGCTGAACGGATGGTGAAGCACTCGGTTGTTATGGGTTGAGGCAGGCTCTGGACGACAGAGACCTAATGCCCATGATATATATCAGCTGGGAGAGCGGGCCGTTGTGAGGAGCAACACATTCCAGCTGCTGCGATGGCGACCAAGTCTTGATGAGCGTGGCCTGGATTCCAGTCATTGGCAGCTCTGCTGTGCATAGGATGAGACAATGTCTTGGGCGAAGCATGTCCAACCCAACGGCTGCTCTTGGACAACAGGACAAAGCACATACGAGCCTTTGTTTCAGCTGTTGCACGATAAGGCGCACTTCTTATATGGATATTCGGTATAAGATCTGGTGCATCGAGACCACATATTCAACCATGCTGGCGTGAGAAGCTTTGACACCGGCCGAATGCTTCTCACCCGCCAGTTTGATGCTGTAATTCGTGCTGGTTCATCAACAGGCACAGCATAATTCAGTCTAGACAAATTGGCCGTTCTTCGCTCAAGAACACATTTTCGTCCGTGTAGGCAATTGTTCTCTGAGTGAGGGAATATAGAAATGAGCTACTGATATGATCGTCATGGGCTCCCGGCGATATGGCGAAGCTGCTGATGGACATCGATTAAGACCGCGTTATCAATCAGCTGATTGTTGGCAGAGGTCACATTTCCGTACGCATGAATGCTGTAGTGGTGGTTCACCAGAGACTCTCACCAAGAGGGAAGAAGAGAACATTTCAACTCGGGAGATTACTCATCGCATCAGATGACGTCGATGCCTTCTCGTGATTCAACATTGGGTAGTCACGACTGGGTAGGTAGGTGAGATATCGTCGGTAACTTCGGCTGCGCTCTAGAAGCCAGTGGAAAAGATGAAGTCATCCAAGGCAAACCGGTTTGCGTGTCCTCAATGCGGTGCGCGGTAACGATGGTTCCGAAATAACTCCAGCCTGCGTGGAAAGCCACTGTATGGAGAGGCAAAACGGGGCTTTGCTTGATCAATGAGGAGCATCTAATAAAATCAAGAGGTAAAATGGATTAAAGCCTCATAGCGCTGCGACGGTTGGCGCCATGGAGATGATGGCTGGTCCGGTGTCACGGAAGGAGAGCCAGTTTGTTGTTTTCTTTGGGGGAAAATTCCCGATCAAATTACTGCATCGCGACTCCAGGACTTGATCAGGACCTGGGAGAACCTGCGACTGCAAGCTTGTTGCTCTCTAGGAGGCGTTTTGCTTGCTGCCGAAACCAAACTACCTATCGAGTGGTGATGGATTGACGAAATGATTGCCAGGCCGGTGGGACGCGCCGGCTTCGGTTAACTGGAGATGGCTGCGAATAAGCCCAGCCCGGATTTGATTCATGGCGGTTGGTGAGAAAGACGGGCGGACAAAGGACTGGATTGGATCCAAGCCTGAGGCAAAAGCTGCAACGTCTTGCCCAAGGCTGTGCGTCAAGCTTGTCGAGCTCGAGATGCTTATCTAATCCCGGATGGCTCGACCAGGCCAATCAGAACAGCCCGATCCCAGGCATTTCCCAGGCCGGCGCAGGGCTAGTCAGCCTGGCACGCTGCTGATTGGCTTGTCGGAGGCTGATATAATGCGGGTAAAGAAGAAAAAAAGTAGAAGAAATAAGACAATTTTCAGCTCCAAGCGCCGTCTGAAATTCCAAAGCATCGCCCCTTCCGGACTGGCCGCCATACCCCGCTAGTCTTCTTCGGGAGCGGCCACTAAGCGCGGCACCTGAATCTTCCACCCCTCGCCCTTTTGTGTTGGAGCGTCACGGTCCTGACGAACAAGAAACCTCTGGGCTGCCCGATTTTTTGCGTTGTGCGCCGCCGCCCTTCTGGCCCGAAAAAAAAAAAAAAAAATAACGAGGATGAGACCAAAGGCCCCGAACCTTACGAGACAAGACCCCAGAAAATGAAAATCCCTCCGCCTCCCGCCGCCTTTCTTTTCTCCCCTTCGCCTTCTGTGTCCGCGGTCGCGATGCACCATTCGTGACATGACACTATCACCGCCGGCCTGCTAATATAGTCCAGAGTTCCAGAGTCGCCTTCGCCGCCGCTGCTTCTCTGCTGCTGCTCCACGCAAGGCCCCCAGACCCCCTGACCACCACGCCGGATCACCACCAGCCTTTAGGTATTAGCCCATCGCCCGTCGTCCAGAGCACCGCCCAAAAACCTGCGCCGCCTTCCCCGTCATCCTCCGTATTTTTGCTTCTGCCATCATCACCAGCCCTTCTCCTCTGCCTCTGCCTCTGCCATCAGCCAGCACGTCGCACCGTCAGCACCGCTCGCACCGTGCCATTGCCCACGCAAAAATCTTTCGTCGTCGCCGGCTCTTTGAGAAGGACCATTGTCGGGAAATCCTCAGAACGGAAGCATTTTGACTTGCTCGCTCGCTGCTCTTTGACCGAGAGAGAAGGAGAGAAAAAAGTGCAAAGGAAACAATAAATCATCAGCCAGACGCGATGGCTCCCGCCCCCAAGGCAGCCGACGCCCGACGCAAATCGGCGACCAAACACGGTCTGCTCGTCACCCTCAGCGTGCCGCCCGCCCTGCTACGCGACATCTTTCCCTCCTCTGTGTCCGTCAAGGAAGGGTCCGAGTCTCCGGCGTCCAAGAGCTCCAAGGCCAACTCAGAACCCAAGGAGTCGCCCGCCAGCCCCAGCGCGCTGGCCGTGTCTGCGGCTCCCTCGAATGGCGACGCTGCCTCCGACTCAAATGCTGCCACTCCGGCCGCCGAGGGCACGCCCTCCTCAACACCAATGCCACCTCCGACGACGAAGAAGGGAGTCAAGCGATCCGCCGCTGCCGTCAACGGCACCAGCAACGACGGCATACCCAAGCCCAGAGGCAAGCCGGGCCCCAAGAAGAAGCCCCGACTGTAAGTCTTTGCTAATACAATCACCTTTGACACGCCAACAAGTATGCTAATTGCATCGTCATTTACAGGGAGGACGGCACCATCGACCACAGTGGTGCGACGGCTCGCCCGTCTGCCCACAAGCTTGGTCCCAAGGCAAACCAGGGAGCCATCAACGCAGGCCTCCGTGCCCTCGACCGGTCTGGCAAGCCCTGCCGGAGGTGGGCCAAGGGCGGCTTCAAGCTCAAGAGCTTCACCGGAGTCGTCTGGGAGATCCCACGATGGACTGCTCCTCCGCGGACCGTCCCTGAATCTGGCGCCGAGGACTCTGCCGCCCCTTCCGCCGATGGCGAGGGCAGCAACAAGGAGAACAAGGAGACCGAAAACGAAAACGGCAACGAAAACGGAAACGAAGGCAACAGCGTTTCCAACAGCAACAGCGGTGTCGACGTCGAGATGCAGAGCGCGCCCAGCGTCCAAGCATCATCACCAGCTCCCGTTCCTGTAGCTGCGGCGTCATAATGCTGCGCCTTTTCGAGCTTTCTTTCTCACTTTGGTCTTTCACGACACCCACTTCTTCTGCTTCTTCATTCTTACTGTTCTTTGCCTCACTCCGTCGGCCTTCAGATGCCGCGCTTTACGAGGCACTCGTTTCCTTCAAACCTAGAAAAAAATCGGGCTCGGCTTCTGTTTCTTGTTTCATCGGCCCCGGGGAACGGGGCACTCGGGATATCCCTTTAATATTTGTGCCTTTTTGATAAAGCGACAGTGGTCAGCCGTCGCTGGCGTTGGACGGGGGAGCATCTGGCGGTCCTCGAGGGACCTGCGCAGACTGGAGTATCAGGATCATTTGTCGGCGTAATTGCATGTATTCAAACGGTTTTACACAGGTTCTCGAGAGTAAGGTAGATAGGGTCGGTAGTGTTCAGCCGGCTGCGGCAATACAATTATTTCTTTCGCGGTCTATGCAGGCGGTGCCTCTATGTCACGATTTCTGTTGAGACACGGTGAATGCATCTCTGCTCTTGAAGCATCGGCATATGGCCACAGTCTCGTAATATGCGATGTCTGTCATGTTTCTAATATAGGACATATTCGAGACGACGATGAATGGTATTGCGCAGGAGCAGCGAGACGAATAAGCGTAACAGAGGGGAAGCGCGCTGCTCCTTCAGCGACCAATCTCGCCTCCTCCTCATTTTTGCCTGATTCGTTTGCACTCAGCTTACCTGCCTGATGGTGAGCCATTTAATTTTCTCTACCTTACTCTGTTCAGATCTGGATTTTGCTTGGCTCAGCTTTTTCTCGCAAATGGGCGTGGCGTGGCGTCGCCGTCGGGCCAAGGTTCAAATGAAGGGAGCCGAAAAAGTTACACATATCTTCTCCCTCACTGTGTCCAATTCCAAGCGAAAGGGTTGATCTGTTCACTCTTCTTTCACCACGGGCCGCGCAAGTCACAGCTTTCATAGACGATTTAGGTATGGAAAGGCCTTTCGGGGGTTTGTTTCAAAGGCGGGCTTATACGTTGCATCGGCGGCTGCTCATCTTTCGGAACTTGACTTAATGATGCTCCGCTTTTGAAACCTGGGGCGCAATGGAGGAATAGAATGAAGGAGGTTTGATGCTCAATTCGCTTGATTCTTGAGTTTTGACGGAAATGGACTTGCTGGCTCTTCTGCTTTCGGGCAAGAGATTTTGCCTCGCTCGTGTCATTGTTGCGCTGCTGATTGAAGGGACGTCGGGACATCGCGTGCTTTAATGTGGCTTAGTCATGGCTCTTGGGATGTGGTGCTAGGCCGCGTTTGGATGGCGGAGAAAGGTGGCAGCTAAAACTTTCTGCTTACTAAGGCAGCCGGATGAGGGCGCTTAGGTCAGCAGGTTGGTCTACAAAGGTGCTCGTTCTGTGTCCGACGAGGTTGACGCGATCTGGGAGTACCTTGTCTCTCATCTTGGGTGACGGGTTGATTGTAGGAGAGTCGATCAGTCCGCACTGATTCTCTCCCTGGAATAGTATCATTCTCAACAGCAAGGTATTTACTGCGGATGCAAGATGATCTCAACACACTTCGGTTATTCATACGGAGTTCTGCCGATAAAGCGCATTCAATGCCGGCTCGGATACGGCCCTGAGCAACAGACAGGTGATCCATGCATGTACAGTCCAGTACCGGTACAGGTAGCGAGAAAACAAGGAACTCCCCGTACAGACGCAGCATTGGCTGGGAATGGCATCATGTGCAGTCTCGGAATAGCAGAGCAGGCATGTCATTCCACGTCTGCATCCATTCAGCAACTGCTCGTCCCCGTGATAAAAGGCGGCACTGGTGTAAAAGCACCTATCCATTCTATGAAGCTGACCTGATGGATCAGCGCCGGGCCAAGGCTTACCTTAAGCGCTGCCCGGCGGCTCCACCCCCTACACGACCAGTGCTAGCAGTGCTAGAGCGTGCATGACAGCGACTCGACTCATCCATCGCCCTTCCGGCTCAGCAGCTCCAACGAACGTTGACCTGCCTGCACCTCCGCCCCGATCGATGCCAGCGACGCCCGCGCCCAACAGCAGGCTTGCCAGCTTGTCGAGTCGATTTTCAGCACATTGCTGCCCTGTGGCCTCTGTATCTTACGTAGCCGCAGCGCCCAAGACCGTCAGAAGGCGGGCTGCTATCAGCTTGTCGGCCCGCTTCGCCGCGCCCCCTCCCTCGATCCGCCGTACCGCATCTTGAACCGGCCCATTCTCACTCCATCTCTCTCTCTATCCGTCTTCTCTCCGCTCTCCTCTCGACTTTTCTTTCTTTAGAATCCTACCTTGACTACACGTCACCGGCCGAAAACCCTTCTTCTCCTCCCTTGCGTGGCCACGTCCCGTGATTGCGCATTCAAACCCCCCTCCCGCGTCATTGCTTTTCCCCCAGCCATTTCTAAAGCTGTATACGGCTTGTATACGGACGCCGGACCTGGAACGAGCGGCGCGCGTTGACTGAACCTAAGCTTGTTGGAAGCTGCTTCAGTAGCTGAGCTGCTCGCTAGCCAGGCACGACTCCCCCTCCATCGATCCTCCAGTCTTGGGATCGAGGCTTTGCCCTTTCCTTCTTGATCCGCCCTCCCCTTCTTGTCCTTTGCCTCGTCATGTCTAGTCCGGAACCGCATGGCTCATCTGGCTTCACAGACTCGGAATCGTCTGCTGAATCCCCCGACTACCAACAGCATCAATATACGCCCGCCCACGATCCCGCCCCCCGCGGCGAGAGAGGCAGCAGCTACAACTTCTACACGCATCCCGCCCGAACGTCGGTGCTAGACGCCAACGGTGAACTGCTCCTCGATCCCACGCTCCGTCTCGGGCCTGCGGCGGCCGCCAACTCGACCGATATGGAACACCAACAGACGCCCCACGGGGACATGAGAAACATGTGGAGGCCCATCGGCAGCCTGCCGTCCTTTTCTCGAGCATTCGATTTCCTGGCGTCAGACTCCAAGGAGGTCGTAGCAGACGTCGAGCCGTTCTTTGTGCCGTCATATCTCAGGGGGTCGGCATACCTGCAGAAGCTGGAAGAGGCGCACAATGCCAAGCTAGAGGCCCAGAAAGAGGGCAAGCGAAGCAAGGAGGACGGGCAGGATCTCGGCTCGTCTGGCCTCGACGTATCGCCGCTACCTCCCGGCGGACACAGAGGCATACTACACACCGTCCTGGAGAGGACGCCGTTTGACGGCGAGGACAATTTAGCGCCGCTGCCGACACGCCTGAACGCGGGGGACATGTGGACTTCGCTGGAAGTGACTCCGGACATGCTGGGCGTCAAGTATGCTGGACCTAAGGGTCACCACGACCGCGATCACGAAGCTAGTGCCATTCGGGCGAACCACTACATCCCTCCCCAATGTGGGATATACTATTTCGAGGTGCAGATCATTTCGGGCAGACGAGACGAGTATGTGAATGAATCAATCTCTGTTCGGGAGCCGGGCGGGCCATGCCGTCGACGAGCATCTCGCTAACCGTGGGCCACTTTAGCACTACCGTTGCCGTTGGTTTCTCTACTAGGAATGCAGCACTATCACGGCCTGTTGGTTGGGAGCCGGAATCTTGGGGGTACCACGGCGACGATGGCCGGTGTTTTACAGGTCAGAACATCGGGAGGCCCTTTGGCCCGGTGTTCAACACTAGTGACGTGATCGGGTGCGGAGTCAACTTCAAAGACCACACGGCCTTCTTCACCAAGAACGGGCAGATGATTGGTGCGTGGTTTGCGACATTGTCCGTGGTGACACCCGTACTGTATACTAACAGCGTGTGCTTGCAAACAAACAGGGGTCGCGTTCCACGACGTTACAAGGAGCAATTTATACCCAGCCATCAGCTTGAAGAAGCAATACGAGCAAGTGAGGGTCAATTTCGGACAGTCACCGTTTGTCTTTAACATTGACGACCTGATGAAGGTGCGTTTTTCCCGGGATTTGTCTCGGTGATTTGCATAAGAGAGCGGGCAACTGACGCAAGAGGGGCGGCGGTCTCAACAGGAACAACGACTCCAGATCCAGAGGGCCATATCGGTGGCGGACACCTCGCAGCTCGAGCCCGGCCTGTCCGAGACGGATCTCATCCAGGCGCTGGTGCTGCAATTTCTTCAGCATGACGGCTACGTGGAGACGGCCCGCGCCTTTGCAGAGGATTTGAAGCTCCAAAAGGAGGCCCTGAACATGAATCCCGACGTGACGGTGGACGGCGTCAGCATAAAGGACGATGAGGATGCTAATAACCGACAGCGTAGGTTGCCTTGACTCGAAGCGCGCGTCGCCGATCAAAAGAGGTGCTGACCCTCGTGTGATTAGGAATCCGGCGAGCGATACTAGACGGAGAGATAGATCTGGCGCTTAAGTACACCAACACGTATTATCCGCAAGTCCTCCGCGACAACGAGCAGGTATACTTTAAGCTTCGATGCCGCAAATTCATTGAGATGGTGCGCAAGGCTGCCGAGCTGGCCATGAAGTACGACGGCAAAGGGGGTAACGAGCTCGGCCAAGAGATGGATCTGGATGTTAACAGCAGCCACGGCTGGGGAGGCAGCATGGAGACGGACGGCGGGGATCACTTGGCGGAGCTGGCAAAGTTGGAAAATAAGATGCTGAGCTATGGTCAGGCTCTGCAGGCGGAGTATGCCGGCGACCCCAGGAAGGAGATTAACAAGGCGCTGAACGAGATCTGGGCGCTGGTGGCATACAAGAATCCGCTTAAGGAGCCGCAAGTGAGCCACCTGCTGGATGGTAAAGGGAGAGTGACTGTTGCGGAGGAGTTGAATTCTGCCATCCTATGTGAGTCCCCTTTGCTTCTCTTTTCCTTGTCGCTGTTCTTGCTAACACGCCTGCTGTTAGCATCTCTTGGAAAGTCATCACGGGCGGCATTGGAGACGTTGTATGCGCAGACCAGCGTGCTGCTGGAAGAGCTGCGCAAGGATGGCGGCTCAGGAGCATTTATCACGCTGCGGGATGTGGTAGATAGCATTCAGCAGGGTTGACAGAAGTGAAGAAAACGACCCCAGCGCTGTTCACGTCGCTCCAGCGGTTTCTCTGCCCCCCTCTCGTTTCTCCTCTCAGCTGGCCTTTGAAGCTTTCCCGTGTCTTTGGAGTTTTGGTGCTTGTATCTCCTCTCCATACTGTGCCCCGGCCTTTATTTCTCGTTTCATTTCTTGCGTTGGCTCACCCCTCTTACATCCATTCCTTTTGGGTTGCCTTAGGCGTTTGTATTTAGGGTACGAGCATTCGGTAGCAAGTGGATGTATCCGCCATCTGGAGGAACAGGCACGGGTCACTACTTAATACTACCTCGCCGATATATGGACGCTTTGCATACCGTTACCTTGACCGAGGGGGTGTAGGAGATGTCTCTTATTGTTGTTGTTGACTGATTCACAAGCGAGGGGGGCTTTAGCGTGATGTCCTTGAGTGAGGTGGTCATGGGTAGCTTCAGGTAGATAGTCTATGCAAGCTGATTGACGGGGGCTTTTTCAATGTCAGCGTGTATATGATCTAGAGCTGTCTTTGTCCTTTTTTCTGAATATTTGTAGTTTTGATTTTACTAGTTTAGTTGGTAGATGAGTGGATGGACTGTGTGGTGATTGTGGCTTTTGGTTACTTTTCATGACATTCTTTTCACGCTTCTTTGCTCTCTACTTTGATACTACATGATTGTTACATTGGGGGGAGGAGTTTGGCTTCCTCGCTCTAGGTGGCTACTTCACATGGCTAGACCATCTCTGTCGGTTTCTGGCGTTCTTTTCGACGTCCATCGCGATGCCATTGATGGAACTGCTCTAGCACGCTGCTGCTTCGACACGCTTCATTCAGGCCCAGCACCGCTCATACAGCCTCCTCCTATGGCTCACCAAGTTGTCAAACCCAGCCAGACACTCCCCAAGCGGGTGGTGGTGGTGGTAGTTCAGATGACCCCCCTCCCCCTCCGCTTCCGCTTCCGACGCCCAGCCAAACCCATCGTCCAGAACCAGCCACGTGTAAGCAAAGACCTCGGCGTCGAAGAGCCCCGGGTCGGGACGGCCAAAGAACCACTCGTCGTCGGCGAGGAGGGTCGAGAGGGCGCGCAGGGCGTCTGCGGCGTCGGCGAGGAGCTGCGGCGGGGAGATGCCGGCGGGGGCGGGGGAGCGCGTCGTCTTTAGGATCTCGGCGGTGGCGGCGTCGCGGAGGGCGTGGAGGGCGGGGAGGTGGAGGATGCGGGAGGGGGGCAGGTAGAGGGATTTGAGGAGGGGGGTGTTTGATGGGTCGAGGTAGAGGGAGTAGAGCTTGGAATGGCACACGTTAGCTGTAGGAGATTCTTGACGATGGGACATGGGTTGTTGGAGAAAGAGGGGGATTTCATGTTTACCCATGCGGGACGAAGACTTTGGGAGAGGAGGGCTTCGTAGGCTTCGGTGCGGGAGGCGGGGGCGGCGGGGGAGAGGTCGGCGGTTGAGTGGTCTTGGGCGTAGCGGTGGATTTTGGCGCCAGTGAGAGGGATCGTTGATGTTGTTGTTGTGGTCTTGTTGCTGGTGGGAGCTGCAGGCTTTGTTGATTCTGAATCCTTCTCGGACGTGGATGCCGTTGGTGTTGTTGTTGGGGGGAGGAGGAAGGGCAGGGCGCCGGAGGGAGAGGCGTGGTTGTTGGAGGGGACGAGGTCGACGTCTACGCCGGCAATGCGGAGGAATGTCTAACGGTTGAAGAAAAGATTTCAATTGATATTGATGCTTATCGTGAGATTGAACTTGGGAGGTGTGTGTGTTGCTTACCTGCCACTTGAGGCACTGGGGATTGAAGCTCGGCCGGCCATTGGCGGCATCCTCCCACGATCTCGCAAAGACGTACAGACGCGGCCGGTCGCGAGACGACGACGACGATGACGATGATGATGATGATGCCTCGGGGCTGCGCTCGGGGAGGGCCTCGGGCGGGAGGGTGGCGAGGGGGAAGAGCTTGAAGAGCTCGCGGACGGGGGCCGGGACGGCGAACCAGCCCGGGCGGGAGGACGGGGGGCCGGCCATGTGGTGAGGATCGGGGGGATGTTGTCCGGGGGTGTGTGTGTGTGGCCAGCGCCGGAAGGCGGGGGGAAAGTATGGGGGAATTTCCTTGTTGATAGGCCACCTGAATTGGATTGGTTCGCCGGTCTCGGAATGTTGAATGGGATGTTGGCGAGGGTGGAGGCGAGATGCCAATTGTCGCTTGTGAGGCGAGGCTGGGAAAAGTGGAAGAAGAATCCTGAAAGCTTCTAGAAGGGCGTTGCTCCTCGGGAGAAATCTCGGAGCGAAAACAACCTATTGGATTTCATTGACAAGTGACGTGTGTTTGTGCGAAGGTCTGCCGAACTTGGGAAGCGGGGCGGCAGACGGGCGCCGAGTTGTGGGGGCCCCAAGGGTCTGTTTTACTGGATTTGTACATGTTTTGTATGTGAAGAAGATGGAGAAGAAGAAGGCATTTGGGCTGTCGTTGTAGCCTTTGTTACTACTGGGTTGTAGACCAAATGTAGATGCCCATCCTTGTGAAATGCCGGCAGGTGGTGGTGGTGGTGCTGATGCAACAACGAACGAACATCCAACACGCAGCACAACATTCTTGGAGAAACACAACACCCACGGCATTCAGAATCAGCTCATTGTCCACAATTGCCAGCCCGGGCCGCACAACCCACAGCGCTGCAGCCGCCCGTGTCGTGTCATGCAAGTCCAGCTCGCAGGAGTGGGGGAGCGAAAGGAAAGGAAGGGGGAAAAAAAGACGGAAAGGAAAAGTTGTATGCAAAGTGGTTCTCTAGGCCCGGAAACTAGGTAGTCGACGATCAAGGAGAAAAAAAAAAAAAAAAAAAAAAAAAAAAAAAAAAAAAAAGAGGCGCGCGAGTCGTGGCCGATGCTTTTTCTTCTCCATTGTATTCGGGCCTTATGAAAAGGTAAAAGAAAAACCCCCCTCCCCTCAGCGTCGTTCTCCCGCAATGGTCCGTGTATTGTGGTTGGCTCGGTGTCTTTTCTCCTCGTTTTTCTGTCTCTCCCCCAGTCTCCTTCTCCATATCTTGTCGTGGTGGTTTTTGGGGGGAGGCAGACGCTTGGCCTCACCGCTCCTTGGGACGTGCGAGGAAGAGGACAAGGGCCAAGGGAGACGTTTTCTATGTTGGCCTGTGATGGTTGTTGTTACCTTGGCTGGCAAGACTGGCCTCTCTTTGGTGTTTGTCGCTTAACATGGAGGTGGTAGTAAGGTGCCATTACCTTGCACTTACAGACTGCATGTTTAGTAGACGTGGACGCACATGTCAAAAGACAGCGCAGACCCTGACCAGGGCCTGAGGACCCTGAATGACCGGGGGTCTTGGACCCCGATGCCCGACGGCATGCTCCTGCTAGTACTACTGCTGCTATTTAGAAGTACATACTAGGTGTTTGTTAGAACGTTACATGGTCGGTTTAGCTGGAGCCAAGGCAAGAGAACAAGAGCAGCAGAATGCTTCTGCCTAGACTAGACATTTTGGCTTGTGTCGTCTGGCTGTTGGCTGCTCCTCGGCGCTCCGCATTTCGGGATCGGTTAATCCGATCGGTTTCCTAGGCCCTTTTCCTCGTTCTTGGTACCTTGCGTAAGGTAGGTATGGTACGATACCTGATGAACACCAGCTCTCGTCGCATTGTCCACGACCGAGCCTATGCACACAATGTGGCTGCGTCTCATTCGGTGCCGAGGGAATGCGTGTAACGGCAGTTGGATGTAATTATAGCACTGAATCAATGTATTGGTCGTGTAAGTAGCAGAGTGCAGCTGTAAGTGAATGAAGCGTCTGGTCTTTTGTCGACGCTGAATCAACCCTCATCCTGTACATGTCAAGGAAATGCCGAGGCAAACCCGGCCCAATCCCCCCAAAGTCCCTTTTCCCCGTAAAACGCCAGCTGAAGTACTCCGCGTTAGTGTGTGCCGTGGCTGCTGCACCTGTCGTCATATGTAAGAAGAGGAGGTGGAATAAGGTAAGAAGAGCCAAAGAGCACTGATTCTGTTCCCTCCCCACAAGCCACGGGGATCCAGAACATCAGTTGACGGCCCTTTTTGGCTGACCTGACCTACTAGTGATATAATAAGTAGTTGCCTAGATAAAAAGGAGCGCGCATCCTCTTTTTTCTCACTCTATCCACCCGACAATTCTCTTATCCACACCTTTTCTCTTTTTTTTTCATTCTTGCCTTTTTCACCTTGGATTTTCAATTCTAGACCAGGAGAAGACGGAACAAGACGACGCTGATTCACAGCTTTGCTTGCAACAATCACCGACGACAAGAGTCACTGTTACTCCATCCTACATACATACGCGCGAGACATCCCTCGGCTGAATTCGTCCAAAGAGTCGCCCGTTTGGGATAGCAGGAGCCCGTCGCTTACACACCTCCGGAATCGTCATCACTTTGGAATACACTCGATTCAATTCATTCCTCAACCCTCTTCAACAAATATCGACCATTTCTCTCTCCATCGAGTCCTGCTGGCCATCACCACCAACTGGTATCGCATCACCAACCATCAAACAGTCTCTCTCTCTCTCTCTCTCTCTCACACTTCCATTCAACAAGCTTCAACACCATGGACGCCTCCACCTCCGCCGCTTCCTCTTCATTCTCCTCTTCAGCATCCTCCTCCACCAGGCAATCGCCCAGCACCTCCGCCGCCGTCATGGCGCCCGCCCCCGTCCAGGCCAAGGTCCCCTCGACCGAGCCCTTCCTCAAGGACTTTACCCTCGTCGCCGAGGCCGCCAAGCGCGCGCAGGCCGCCGTCATGGTGCGCGACTTCGCCGACATGGGCCTTTGAAGCAGCCCGGCCTGTGCTTTTTTGGCTTCTCAACCTCGATTACGCACTCTTCGGGGCCTCTTTCTTGGGGTATTACATGAGGATCCGCTCGGGGCGCTGATAGACCTGATTCTATCTCTTCCGATTTTTTTTTTCGTGTTCTTTGTGTCGTTCCATATACACGGGGTCTGGCGTTGGGATTGCGACAGACTACACAAGTCTGATTTTTTTTTTCCTTCTCCCTTCTGGGGCTCAACGGGTTTCTTACAGATGGATGGGAACGGCATCGGGTCTGCTGGGGGAAGTCGGGACATTGGATACACACACAAGTCTGTCACTGCTGATTTTGCGTTATTGATTTATTGGGCTTGCTTTCTTCCTGGTTTCTCTCGCATCGCACATATAGCCAGCTATACATACCCGCACCTTTTTGCTAATAATGGAATTTGTACGAGGCTCCGTCATGGACGCCTCTCTTGAATCAGCCCTTCAAGCTCCCGCTTCCGTTTGCGTGGTGTTTCACAATGACTATCTGCCCTGATGATGAAAGCACTGCAGATGATGATGCTTGATGCATAAGAGACTTGCCCTCACAGCTTCGATACATGAGACGCCCCCCCGTCCACCCGAATCATGGCCCCATTGCAAAACGCCCTGTGATTCACATCACAAGTCAGCACTCATTCACGACGACCATACAAGGATCAAGAAAACAAAAGTCTCAAAACTCACCCAGCCCGGCTCGCCAGAAACAAACTCGCCCCCGCCACGTCCTGCGGCGTCCCGATCCTGCCCCTCGGCATCTCCTCCATCAGCGCGTCGCCCGCGGCCTCGAGCGTTGCCCGCATCATCTTGGTGGCAAACGGCCCGCACGCGAGCACGTTGCTGGTGACGTGCCGCGGCCCCAGCTCCTTGGCCAAGACGCGCGACATGTGGTGCAGCCCGGCCTTGCTGGCGGCGTAGGCGACGTTGGACACGGTCGGCACGCGGATGCCGTCGATGCTGCCGATGTGGATCAGCCGCGCCGGGTCCTCGTGCGTGCCCGCCCGCTCGAGCAGCGGCAGGCACAGCTGCGTCAGGGTGAAGACGCGGTGCAGGTTGAGCGTGAGCACCTTGTTCCACGCGTGGTCCGGGTGCGAGTCGATGTCGGCGCCCCACGCCGCGCCGGCGTTGTTGACCAGCACGTGCAGGCCGCCGGGCTCGAGCTCCGTCAGCCGCTTGGCGAGGGCCTCGCACTGGGCGAGCTCCTGGAGGTTCGCCGGCAGGGAGTGTGCAGAGCCGCCGCTTTGGCTTTGGCTGCCGAGCTTGGTGAGCTCGGCGGCGGCGGAGTCGCAGGCACGGGCGTCGCGGCCCGTCAGGTAGACCTTTGCGCCGTTGGTGACGAAGCCCTCTGCGATCATCCGCCCGATGCCTTTGGCGCCTGGGGAGCGAGAGAAAAGAAAGTTAGCTTCATTCATTGCGGAGGAATTGAGATATACGTGCCTCCAGTGACGAGGACGACTTTGCCCTGTGTGACGACGCGTTGGTGAGTCTGGTGATGGTTGTTTCATAGGGAGAACGTACCTTGACGCTGAACAGGCTGTTGAGATCCATGATGAATGTACTATGCAAGGAGATACAATGACAGTTTTCTGTTTCAATCAACTCAATATAAAGCAAGAAATGAAGCAGGCATGACGAAAGCAAAGCCCAGCAAAGGAGAGGGCGAAATCACCATGTCATTCAAGCTGACAGTCCAAGCCGAGGCTCAGACGGCTGTGACGCCTTACTTTACTGTTACCGAGCAAGCTTATCAGAGCGCTTTCGGCAGGCGGTCAGCCGCCCTTCTTTGCGTATTTACCCCCCGGGGTCCCCACCTCCGCAGACGCCACGGGGCTTATCGATAACGCAGCTCTTGCACGGGTTTGGGTAGGCAACCGAATTGGCCTATGAAAGACCCGAGGTCTTGATAACAGGTACAACTTCGGATTCTATCTGTCTTTGCTTTCCTGAGAGAAGAATAACAGCATTTGTTCCTTGATGCCGTTTGACGGATGGCAATAATCATATTAGATACGGAAAGTATGTCGACTCACTTCCCTTCAATGAACATGATTCGATTACTGAACCGCGGCAGTATTATCGAACACATACGAGCTAAATATAAAGCAGTGAATCGGCCAAACATCCCACCACCCCATCCTCCCCATCACGACTCCAACAGCAACCAAACATAAACCCACGCTTCAACCCAAACCTCCCTAATCAGACACATCACCCCAGCCGACAATTCCTTCCAAGTCCGCCCCTCACCCATCCTCGCTCCAGATGCCCGCAATGACCGACGGCCCAACCCGCCTCCGCGACACCTTCGCCTCCAAGCCCGTCTCCGCCCACAACGACGCCTGGGACGCCCTCTACGCAGACTCCTTCCACCCCTGGGACCGCGCCGGGCCCTCCCTCGCCCTCGCCGACCTGCTCGCCCAGCGGACGGACCTGATCCCGCCCTCGGTCGAGCCGCCACGGCGCGACTCCTCCTCCTCCTCCTCCGGACAGCAACCGCGCCGCCGCCGCTTGGCGCTGGTTCCCGGGTGCGGCCGCGGCCACGATGTGCTGCTGCTGAGCGCGCTGGGCTACGACGTCGTCGGCCTGGACTACAGCCCCCGCGCGCTGGAGCTGGCGCGCGAGAACAAGGAGCGGGCAGATGCCGAGGGGAGGTATGCCGAGTACGGTGACAAGGACGGCGGCGGCGGCGTCGGCAGCGGCCGGGTGACCTGGGTCTCGGGCGACTTCTTTGGGAATGGCTGGCAAAGCGACGCGGGTGCAAACAAGTTTGACCTGATATTCGACTACACGGTGAGCAACAAAAGAAGGAGCAGAAACTGAACAGGAGACAGCAGGCAGCTCTAATAATTTGTGTCTATACGCTGACATGATCCCCCCTCCGCCACCAACACCAGTTCCTCTGCGCCCTGCAGCCCTCCGAGCGCCCGCGATGGGCGAAGCGCATGTCCCAGCTCCTCTCCCCCGGCGGCCAGCTCATCTGCCTCGAGTTCCCCTCCGGGAAGCCCCTGTCCCTGCAGGGCCCGCCCTGGGGCGTCTGGCCCGAGGTCTACGAGGCGCTCCTCGAGCACCCCGGCGAGCCGATCGAGTACGCCGACGACGGCAACGTCAAGCCCGGATCCGTGCCCCGGCTGCCTCACCCGGACGGGCTGCACCGCGTGTGTCTCGTCAAGCCCCGGCGGACGCACAAGGCGGGCACGAATGAGGACGGGAGCGTCAGGGACTTTATCTCCGTGTGGTCTCGGTAGTTGGCGATAGTTTGCTGGTGTATTGTCGTTTGGAGTTGGTACTGGAAAAGGGCGGTGTTTTGATTCGGGAATGCGGCGTTGTGATGTCTTCTGCAAATAAAGGTGTGGCGGTAGAATCAGTTTCGGAGAGAATGGGCGAGGCTGGCTTCTCTTCCTCACAGTTGAGACAAGGGAAAAAGTGACCCAACAGACGGGCGATATGAACCGAGAAATCGCATCAATGCCTCCCCAGTCATTCGTCCAGATGGGCTCAATCCGCAGTCGCCGTCGTAGCCGTCGCCCTCCTCAGGGAATTGTAGTGCTCTCCCAGCCCGTATCCGTGCCGATAATACGCCAACCACAACGTCTTCATGCCGTCTCCCTTGCCCTCCTCACCATCCCCAACAATCCTCTCCGTCCTCCCGTCCTGAATCACCCGAATCTCGACCCCATACCGCCTCGCCACGGCAATCAGCTCAAGCTGCCCGCCCCACTCCGCAGTATCCCTCATCTTGCGCACGTAATCCCCCAGATCCTCCTCCAGAAAGGGCGCGAAGTCATCCGCGTGCGCCTCCATGTACCCCGTCGCCGCCTTCCGTATCGTCTTGTACGCAGGCTCCTTTTCCGTCTCTGCTGCTGCTGCTGCAGCAGCAGCATCATCATCTCCGCTACCGCTGAGGGGAATGCCGTTGTGGGAGAGCTGGTCCGCCAGCGCGGAGAACAGGCAGTGCCCGTCCGGCTGGATGTCCTTCTCGCTGAGCCCGTGCGCCGTAAACTCCTTCTTCATGTACGCGCTCTCCTTGGCCCGGTGGTCCGTCATCGTCGAGGCCTCCTGTTCGGCGCTCAGCATCGCGGCTTCGTGCTCCGCCGCGCGTCGTGCCATGCGCTCCTTTTGTCGGTTCCGCTTCTTGCCAGGCTGCTGCTGCTGCTGCTGTTGCCCTTTCGTACCGCCGCCGTTGGTATCCAGGGTTAACTTCGAGGTCGCTTCGTCTAGTTCTTGTGTCATTGTCGTCGTCGTCGTCGTCGTCGTCCCGTTCATCGCCCCGTCCTTTTGTTGTGATATATCCTCCTGCTCTTGCTCTTCCGGCTCAGCAGCATCCTCAGCCTCTCCGTTCAGCGCCGCAATCTCGGCAGCCTGCTTCTCCCTCAACTGCCGCTCCATCTCCGCGCACTCGTCGTTGACGCCCTTGCGCGTCTTCTTCGTCGCGTTCTTCTTCTTGTTCGTGATTCTCCCCTGCAGGTCTTTGAGTTCGCGCCGGTGCCGCGCCTGCATCTGGTCTAACGTCTCCGCCTCCATTTTCTTCCGTTGTCCCTTCTCTGTGTATCCTCTATGTTTCTCGTCTCCGAGTTCTTCTTTGGGGACTTTTCCGTTTTTTTTCTGCTGAGTACTGTTGATCCGCTCTCCCTTGAATGACTGACGAATAACGTAGAGCAGAAAGCAAGAGGAAGCTGTCGTGAGTTAAGCGTGTGGTTAAGAGATGATGATGGCGGGGTCAAGTTGACAGTTCCGTCTTCATGGACTTTTTTTCCCCTTTTTGGCGGGGCCGTCCTCTTGAATCCGACACCCGTAGAAATAGTGCCAGTATGTAGCAAATCTACACATAATCATGAGCAACACCACGTAGGAAATATAGAGTATAATTCCGTTGTATTACGAGTGTATTTGACTCTTTTTACTATATACTGTGATTCTCTTATCAAAGAAATCTCCCTGTTCTTAGAGAAAGACTGCCCAATTTGCCGTATCCAAAGAGGGCCTTTGTCCCGCCGTCTTGCCCACCTCATCTCCAATCTACCATATCCAGACCAAAGACGCCTCCAACTGTGTGGGATCGTGGTGGAAATTGCTCCCTATTGCCCTGTATACACCCCTTTCGTATACCTTTTGCATGTATGTCGGGGCTCCCCCGGATACTCCAGCATCCAACCGCAGACATAAGAAACAGCTGCTAATAATACAGACATATTCAAGAAAAATCAGCGCCGTGCACCGCAGATATGAAGAATGGGTAAAAACGACAAAGAGAAACAGAAATGAGAGCAGCAAAAGAAAGGTAGCGGCAATGACCGTAATTCATATCAATACAAAGTCAAAAAAAGACAGAGATGGAAAAGGGGTATCCCGTCGTGGTGTTGCTTGATCCATTGTGTGTGGATCACTGGTATATAAGAGAAAAAATTAACAAAGTAAATAGGTGTTTGGTTGGTGTTTGGTTTACTTCGCGAGTGGTCTGTCTCGCGCAATTCAGAACCCCTTGAAAGGATCGTCTCGGAAGAAGTCCTCCTCTCCTGCGGTCTTGCTTCCGCTGAAGAATTCGTCGGATGCGCGAGTGCTCCTTGACAGCTGGGCTCGACGACGGTGTCGGCTGCTGCGTCGGCGGAATTCCTTGCTCTTCTTCCGTGCCAGTGACCTATAGTCTTCTCCTCCTTGATATTCATTGTACTCCTGGTATGCGTGAGGGCTGATGAACGCTTCCATGCGCACAGTACCTATCGCGTCAAAGAAGTTGCCTTGTTGAGACGATACCGTCGACAGCGGAGTCTGGGCTACTCCCCAGCTGGCAGCAGTGGATCCCTGAGACTGGTAGATGTCAGAAGAACCAGAGGTGTCAATGCTGGCGCCGGCCGTGCTGTTTGCATAGTGGTAATCGCTTTCACCCAGCGTCGGTCCTGCGAAGCCTCGGAAGGACAGCGGCGGGGCCGCATGGCCTCCCGTGTTGCTTCGCTTGCGGCCGTGGTTGGCAGCCTTGCGACCCTTCTTGTCGCTGAAGCGTGGAATCATGGGTGGTACGGCGGCATCCACCGAGTCCTCCCTCGAGTGTCCGGGTCCAGTCACGGACTCTGCCACTCGAAACCTGGCCACATCACCCATCCGTACGGACGGAACGTCGGGAATGTCGGGAATGCTGGGCATGCTCGACAGCTCCGCCTTTGGCGCAACAGCCCGGCCCTTGGCTAATCGAATCGAATCCCGGATTCCTCCTCTTGTCAGCTTAGTAGGTCGGGGGGGCTCGAAGTTCGGGAGAGGCTGCTGCTTGACCGAGAGGTGCTGTTGAGCTGGAGCAGGTAGGACGTCAGGGACAGCTTGATAAGAATGGGCCAGGAATGACAGAGCTGTCAGCCAGAGATAGTGCCTCTCTGCCGTGGGTGCCGTGAACTTGAGTGCTCGCTGGGGTGTGAGGATCAGAATGGATCGGTTGAAGATGGGCGTCGTGACACCCCTTGGTGCCGGATTGTCATCCTTGACATCGAGGACGGATTGGATAGCCACTGTTCGTCATGTTAGCTGCAAGAAAATTATTCACATCAAGAGCTTCAACTCACGCTTGCGACCCGTCTTTCCTAACAAGGCACTGCCGGAAGACGGTTGCTTGCTGCTCCAAAGGATAGCTCGCTCATATGGTGCAACCCAGACCCATCGCTTGTGTCTGTCGTTGCTGTTCTCATCCTTGTGCGCGCCCTCTCCAACACTAAACGACTTCCTTCTACGAACGTACTTGTACATCCATTCTCCAACCATGGTCTGGGCGATAGCATCCACGACTCCTGGGGTTTGCGAGCTGGCCTGAGACACAGCTTCTGATTTCGCCGTCATGACCGTGCCGTTGGATAGCTGATGGCGATGTTTCCTATACGTGCTGCCTTCTCGGTTCCTGGGCGTGGTAATAGCATTCCGAGGCAGGGGCGGGAGGCCGGGGCTTTCGGGAGCTTCAGTCGAAGGCGACAACGGCGGCGTTCGGCTGCCTGTCCTGCGATGGCGTTCATGACTTTCCAGCGTGTTCGCAGAGCGGACACGACGAACGTTGTTGACCTGGTAAGTGCGGCTGCCGCTTCGGCGATGGCGATGCCAGCTGGTTGTCGATGGAGTACTGCGCCCGTCACTTGGAATGCTGGTGCTGATGGATGGCTTCCGCGAGCTTGCTCGGGCTGGGATAGGGAATGGCGGCGGGTTCTTAGGCTCGACGATGGTAGGGTAGTTCACCATGCCAGTCTGAGCCATTGTCGCCTTTCGCATGTCGCTGTTGCGGCTCGATGGGGCCAAGGCAGGTGCGGGAGACAGCTCCGTGATCCTGCTCGGTCTCTCGTCCTCACCAACGCTATACAGGTCGCCACTCCTTACCGATCGTGCAGACGTCCTACCAGAGCGCTTGGAAGGCTGGTCTGGCGAAGTCGCCACTGTACCAAACGAGCTTCGCTTGCCCGTTCGGCTCAAGTTCGAAGGGGGTCTAGGAGCCGTTAAGGCGGTGCGGTACTCGGAATCACTCAAGTCAAGATCACCAAACTCGTCAATCTCGTCTGAATCGGTGCAGAAACCGGAGAACAGGCTGCTGAAGCGGCGCGGTGGTATTATGGGAGCGCGTGGGCCTGATAGAAGAAGGTCGTCGTTGTAGTCGTGCAGATCATGGTCATCCATTGCGATACTGATGGGGGAAGACGGAAGCTCAGTGCTATACCGGCTGCTCTCCAACCGTCGAGGGTTTCGAGGAGGCACGATACCAGGAAGAGGAATGTCGCTCTTGTCGGGAACAGTAACACCCGACGGATGAGGTGAGGTAGGCCGGGAAGTGATAGAAGACGGCTGGAGATGTGCTGGAAGGCGAGCCAGCCGCTTGTCAATTTGGATGGCCTCCGTTTGAGAGCATGAATCAACCATATCGCTCTGAACAATGATGTTGACTTGGCAGCCAAAGTCCTTGAAATGCTGGGGCAGCTTCGGAGAATGCGGAGATGTAGGCCGGCTGGTTGGTGGCTGAATGCTGATGCTCGGAATGTCCAAGGGGGGTAGCGGTACGGGAGCGACCACGGAAGCTGAAGCAGGAGTCTCGGTCTGTGTAGAAGAAGTCACCATCTTTGGTCCAGCCTTTGGCGCTTTCACCTCCGCTGGTGATCCATTCGGCAGGCTGTACAATGAGTTCGGCGTCTTTGGCGGCGTCAACGGAACCTCAACCGTCTGTGAGGCTGACGACACCATGTGCTTGGGTGTAGCAGGCATTTCGATAGCAGGGGGTAAGTCAACTCGATCCCTTCGTTCGGGAGATCGCGGGGGCGTCTCGGCATCCAGCGTAGGTGACTGCGGTGGAGAGAATTGTACTCCTGTGTCGGCATAGGCAGGTTCAGGAGTAGGGACATATTGAACTCCTGAATCAGCATATGACGGTTCGAAGGCGAAAGAGTGTTGGCTTCCTGCATCAGCGTACGAAGGTTCGGAAACGGGAGAGTATTGATTGCCTGCGTCGGCATATGAGGGCTCGGGCGTGGGGATGGGCTGAATGCCTGTATCGGTGTACAGGGGCTTTGGAACCGGAGTGGGAGGCGGAGTGAGGTCCGTTGCTGGAGCCGGAATGGGAGCACACTGAATACCCGCATCGCTGTATGTGTGTTCGACAACAGGAGAGCACTGAATACCGGCATTGCTGTATGTGTGTTCGACAACAGGAGAGCACTGGACCCCAGCGCTGTTGTAGGAATGCTCATAAGCGAATTGGACTCCGGCGTCAGCGTAGGTTGGCTTGTTGGTAGGCGTACGAGTCAAGGCCCGGGCAGAGTCTTCTCCCTCAGTCTCTTCGTCTTCACCTTCAAGAGCCTCGAGGAGTGATTGATTCATCAGGATCCTACTGGCGCGTGCAACGCTGCCAGGACGCTTTACGCTGTCAATGCTCTGCGTCCTCCGATGGAGCTTGCTGATGACGCTCTCACGACTGTATGTTCGCCGATGTTGTCGTGGGCTTGAGAAGACGCTCTCGCGTCCGTCCTCCGTTTGGTCGTCAGTGTCATCAAACTTGAGCTCATCTGCCAGAGAATAGCCGTTGAGGGAGAGGCCGGCTCCGTTGGCCAGGGAGTACCGAATGCTGCTTGTCAGGCTCATTGTCCGGACACTGCCTGCGTCATTATCCCTGCCGCTCTCTTCGGCATCGCTTTCATGGTCGTGGCCTTGCTGAGCTGCTGCTCTATTTGCGTGGTTGGCTTGATAGGCTGCCACCTCATCAAGCACCATTTGAAGGCGGCTCTCCGCCACGTGGATCCGCCGCTCATACTTGCGCTTCTCGCTGTCCCAGCTCTCTTTTTCCTCCGCCCATTGCTCATGAACTCGCTGCGAATCTTCTTCTTGGCTCCGAATTTTCTTATGGGCTGCCTCTAAGCGTTTCTTGGTCTCAGAAACCGACTCAACAGCTTCGTCTCTCTCGCGCGAAAGATCTCCCAGAGCGGAAGAGGTTCCGCCCTCTAGTAAAGACAGCTGTCGTTGTAAAGAGCGATTCTCCTTGGTCGTAGCATTTACACTTTCTTGTAGGGCGTCCCGTTCTTCTCTGCTTTCTTGGAGCGCACTTTCGAGGCTTTCGATCACTTTCGTCTTTTCTTCTTGGTCTCTTCTGAGCGACAAGATCTCGGAAACCAAGTTGGCATGCAGAGTGGGGGTGAAGCGTCGCGGGTCGAGGATGCTTATCTGCTCGTCGGTTGTGATATCTCTCGAGGAACGCTTAGAGGCGTTCCCATTCCTCGTTGGCGAAATCTTCTTCTTTGCCGGCGGCGTGATAGAACGAGCCGAGCGCCTCGATTTTCTCGACCGTGTTGACGGCGTTCTGTAAGGGACATACTGTTGTGGGGGAAGCGAGACTGCCGCCTGCGCATTCATGTACTCGTCGTCTGTCCAGGCACTCATGATTCCTAAAATGAATCAGACTGCAGGAGAGGTCAGAAGCAAGCGAGAGCTCGAGATGTAATATCTCAACCATGTATAGATGTCTTAAACAAACACCGTCGAGTGCCACGTTTTCAAGCTATATTAAGCTTGAATGTGGCAGGCAGCGGCTGATGGCCAGCCCCTTTCATAGGGGTTATGGCACTCCTTGCAGCAAAGCAATGCCAAAGCTGGGTAAAGTTTTCTCCCCCAGCCTCAGATTATCCTGAGTACGATTGTCCTCCAAATCCAAAGTCAGCTTTCAACTGTATTTAGCGGTACCGGTTTTGTTGTATCTCAACGTGCGTCAAAGCAAAGGGCTGCCGGCACGCGACGATCAAAGCAAGGGGTCAGACTTACAAGACGGCTCAGCTCAACGCCACCACCTCCGGTGTCAATGTGTTTTCGAAGCCCAAGCGCAAAATGGGTGAACAGAAAATGCCGTCGGGAGCTGTTGGAAGAGACTCAGTACGAATCGAATCGGAAGGCGATTGCTGTCGCCGAGCGAAACGAGTGGCGAAGTTTCGAAGACCGGGTCGAATTGCCCGATCGAGGCGGATGCGAATGATGAAATGGCACAAAGGAGGTTTCGAATAACGGTAAATGGTCTCGTCGACGCTGTTCGTGATGAAATGCTAATGCAGAGACTGAAATAAAAGATAAAAGAACTGAGGCAGATCCGAACAGTCAGTTGGACTTGATCCGTTGTAGGAAAGAGGATTAGTAGAGCGTTGCCCGCTCCTGCCACAAGCAACGCACCTTAAGTCACAAGGGAAGGAGAGAAGGAGAAGGGAAGGTAAGAAGTAAAGTCGCCAAATGGCCTTTCGTGAGCGAGATCTTTTCGAAGCTGCTTAATCCATTGAAGCGCATACAATGGTCGAAGAGAAACGACAAAGGGGAAAAGCGAGACCGGCTTCTGACCAAAGACAAACTCCCCTCCGCACTGCGTGGTTGTTTGGCGCTGCAGAATGTCGCTCGAGGAGGCTGAATAGCCAGCAGTACGGTGCGGCAGGAAAACGACAGAAATGACGATAACGACGAGTGCAGAACAGGAGAACGGCGAGACGAAGAGATAATGACGAGGTACGAAGCGTTCCGCCGGGGTGCCGGAGAGCAGGAGAGCAGGGAGTATTAATTGTCTACATCCACTTTGCCTGGTTGGTTGACGCGCGATCGGGGTCGACTCTGTCCATGTGGGCCTGTGATTGAGGCGATCCCAGGACACTGGAAGCTTGGGGACAAGGGCCAGGTCTCTGGAGGGCTGTCTGGAGGCAGGTTGCTGTGGTTTTGCTGCTGCTGTTCCCGCTGTATGCTGCTCTGATGAGAGCTGAGCCTTCCTATGGAGCTCTCCTCCGGCAATATTCCAATACAGGTAATCTTACGAAGACCTACGAAGCGCTTCATACAAGATGCCATAGATGTGCTAAGAGCAAGGTTGGCAAGGTACGTCTCTCTCTCTCAACCGCGCTGTCTGGCCGGTATTGGTTGCCCAAGCCTGCATGGCAGCCCCGAGACAGTGTCACCTCCCGTCTCATATCGTTCCTGGAATCTAACATTGCCTTATACAATGCAGCCTCTCAACTGTTTCTGGTAGACATACATACGAAAACACGCTGCATGCTGCAGACGGCCGCATATGCACACCACTCAACTACCCGCTCAACCGCTGTCTGACAGGCTCGCCAAGAGCCCCTCTCAAATCTACCGCTGCAGCCATGATTGTCCCTCCTTGGAGCTGAAGGCAAATGGCTGGCTTGTTTTCTCTTCTCTTCCACCTGCCCCCTGCTAATTCGCTCCTCTGCAGACGAAGCACGCCGTATCATTGGCCCTTGGCCTGCGTCGGTTCTATCATCCGCGATGGCCCATGCGTTCTCTCCCAGCATGCTACGCCCAGTCTTGATTAGCGGTCCTCAGTCCACCCCAAGAAGCCGCCCACTGAGCATGCTTCGTTGCCTGGTGTACTTGGTGCGAGTGGCTAACACAAATGCTCATAATCCGGAGGCCCTGTCTTGCTCCCCCGTTCAGCTCAGGACAGCTCTGTTGGCTGGGGAGATGGCGCAGTGGCGTTCCTTCCCGGCCGCAAAGCGCAGGATCGGCGGAGTGGCTTTCTGTCTTGTTTCACCATTGTCGAGTGCGAGACCAAATATGATACCGCAGCAGCGATTGATATGCACGACTGGCCAACAACTCCTTCGAATTGGCAGCAGAACAAAGACGAGAAACCGTCGCCAGCACGGCAGTTCCGGCTCTTACCTTGTATGGGTCATCACGCCGGCCTCATCGTAAGGGAACGATAATTTGTGTAAAGCGCCAACGTCCTCGAAAAAGCATAGCACGATGACTTCGAAGATTGCGAATGCTACTGCTCCTTGCCGAGCCCAAGGACTAATAACAAGAGGAGGGTCCTCGGCTACGAGTACAACGAGCTTGTACCAAGTACCGTCGAAAGCGGACGGCGGGACTGGAGACTTGCCTGCGCGTAGAGGCATACGGAGGCTGATGGCTGCACGGCAATATCACATATGCAAGGCTACCGGTGTCACCTGGTGAGATCCCTGTCAGGGCCACCTTCACGACATTATCCGAAATCGTCTGGACAGGAGCAGCATCCTGGCCAGAGCGAATACTTCTAGACCACCCCGTGCCATTCCAAGTTCTACTCCTATGTACAACCGGGGTGGTGTATTCTCAAGCTCCTCCAACCACTGAACTCGAACGGACGACGAGCAACGACTGCATTGCTTCTCCAGGAAATGACGGGAAGATTGACAAGTCTCTGCCCAAACTTAGCTCCATTATGCGGTCAGCATCGAGGGCTGTCAACGTCACTACCTTAGGAACCCGACGGACTGCTTGCCTACCTTATATTTGCGCCCCCCTAAAGAAACGGATACATCTGGCCGAGTCGCCTACGCCACGGCCCGGTATTATGGTGAGACCCTACTGCGTCGGTTATTAATAAACCCTCAGCGCAAGCACGCAGGTACTACTACTCCGTACAATACTGGATACTAGTATCATCACTACTTTTATCACGTTGCAATGCAACATGAGTGGTGCCTGCGTCAGGTTTACACTCATGTCTTCCACCATCGGCGCATGCCCGACGTATCACTCTCTGGACGCTGAGGGGCGTACCTTGCATCGTCCTGCATGCAGGCTCTACACCTCGACCTCTCGATTCTTCCGAAGACATGGGGCATGCGGTCCGTAGGGGACATAACACTGCTGGTAGTATTACCGCGTACACGGGCCTCACACGTATTGCGCTTGTATGTATGCCCGCAGGACGGAGCATCGCACATAATGTACCAGTATGGGATACTCCGTACAAGTTGGCTCATTTACTTTAGCTGGCCCCCCCTGGCTGCTCTGGAAATTAATCACGACAAGGGCCTTCGTCTTCGACTTCACACGAGGCCCGACACTATGCTGGCCTAGGAAGCGGGCCGAACTTGGCAAAGCTAGCCCGGCCCTCGTGCTCGTTTAGGGGAACCCAACCAACCAACCTTACTCCCTATGGCGTATCCCCAATTAATTGGACAGACATGGGAGATGTTTGTGTGCTGACGAATCTATTTCTTTGGCCCGCCTGTTCATCAGGGTCGGTATGACCGACGTCGTGGACAGCTACAAGTTGCGGGCGGTCGAACCAAGTGGTAATACGCGGGACACTTTATGGTCTTTGATTGTCTGGAAGCCAGGCCATCCTCGTCATTTCATCGGAACGTCAACGGAAAGTTATGAATTGCGGCTCCGTGCGCACGGCATGTGTCTCTCCTCCACGGAGGCTGTCAAAGTGGCAGATGACACCGGTGTCCGCGAAGTGCTCCGTACGAGTGCTCAGAGCCCCTCGAAGGCACTGTCAAGTGACCTCTGTGAGCGAGATCATCAGTGGCAATGGAAGGTTTTTGCTTTTTCCACACCTCCATTTCTGCCACCGGGGCTGTCGAACTCAGCCCGTTAGCTCTCCACGGAAGGCAGGGCGACGATCATCAGCCGTACGGGCCAACGTGCTTGTAGCCCCTCGAGAATGGTCGTTGGCAAGCAGGAGGACAATGGCCAAATTACGAGGCTAGGCTTTCTTCCCCGTCATACGAGCTTCCTCTCATCGGTCAAGCGTCCTTCCTGCCGATTAGCTAGCTCGGCAATGTTAGCTTGGGTGCCAAAAGCTCAGTAACATGCCTCTCGAAAAGGTGCGAACAGGCATCTTGATGAGATTCTTGCTGGGGAAGGCATACAGGCCTCAGCGCGGCACACTCCGCACTCTCAGCCATGCCGCTCTGTTCGTGCTAGTCCAGCACGCTCCCTCAGGTTAGCCAGGGACGTGATAGGTGATAGGGCGATTATCATGCTCCTGCAATTTCTCCGCTTCATACATCCTACTCCACTCCAATGGCACTACTTTTGGCTGCTCACCGGATACCTTCGATGGAAAGACGAAGAAGAGGAGGGGAGATGGAGAGATTGCAGCTTCTGAGCGGCTGGATCTGACACCTATGGTCATGTTCAGTCCAAAAATGAGCCGCCTCGCCATTGCCATCGACAGAGATATGGCCATGGCATATTGGTTCGCTGTGTCATCGCCACGAAGTTCAGGAACATCGGTGTGCTCCAACAGGTGTTGAGCCATGTACGAAGTACCATTTCGTACAATTCTGGAGGACAGGGCTGTTGATGAGGATGGTTCAAGCATGAGGTACGAGTACCGACTGGAAACGCCTCAGAATGCTACCCCGGCCTGCCAAGTTCATGAGATAATGGTCTTCTACACGCTCCGGGGCTCCAGATCACCGTCTCAGGGCTGGGATCGCCGTTCAATAGGAGCATCGGGCCAACGTCTCTGCTTATACTCAGCTGTTACTACTACTACTATACCTCTAGGTCAAGGTAAGAAGCCATCAAAAACTGGAACTTCCTTATACGTGTACTCAGTAGTACGTACCGAGTACTTCATTCGGAGCCTCATTCCGTCTTTTCTATGCAATGCCCCTCTATCTCAAGTAGCATGCTGCCCAACCAACAATTTCCCGGGACCACCGACGAGTCGGATAGCAGATCCCCAAATGTCACTCAGTGTGGACATGGGCATCACGGACGATAAGCTAATACCGAACAGCTTGCCGGCAACGGTAACCGACCCCACGGATATGGCCACGAACGTTCCAATCAATGGAAGAGGCCTATCGCTTCTTTCGAAACTGGCCGCTGAAGCCACGAGCTCTATGGAGCTTAAGGCCAGCTTAAACTTCGTCGGCCACCCACACAGCGGCACGTTTGCCACCATTGTTCCGGCCCGTCTATCCGTGCCCTCCTTGAGGTACCTTCTTTGGTACTCGAGTATCCCGCAAATGGCCTATTGACTGTGTTGACTGGCTAGTCAGGAGGGCAATATGTGGATGGCGAGGTATCCCCAAGAGCGTCGTTAACACCCAGCACAGAGAATGGCACGAAGGCCTCTTTACTCGGTTGCCCAGGGTCGACATTCAGCCAGGAGCCATCCGCATCTCCGCATAGTCAGTTTTCAATTGGCGAGTGATTGCGCCTCTTCCCTCTTCGCGACCGGCAACTGGGCCCGGTACTCCCTGTTCTTTTGTTGACTTTGTGAAGCTCCACGTGCTATATCACAGAGGGGATCTATATCCCAGGCGTTATCACAGTCACACAGCACTCAGTGGCTGAGGCGGAGACTCCTATTTAAAGAAGCAAAAGGTCCGCGAATATATTGTGCCTCGGTCAAAATGGCAGCATGGCTTTCGTTTCAGCTATCACGGCAACGTTCCGGTCACACACGAAGATCACTCTGTGGCTTTACTGGTCTGAAATATCACAGGGCTGGCAACCAATTTCGGGCCGTACTACGGCTTGCTTAAGAGCAACATGACAACACATGTTGGGGAGCACTGAATTACAAATGAGAACGGCTGGGGCATTCACATGTCAATCATTGAGCCCGTTGGACAGGCTACTGCTAATACTATTAAGTTGTGTAGTTGACTGAGAGGTTCAACACAATCTTGATCGACTTCCGTTCAGAAGCGTCGACGATGGCGGGCGTTCTGAACCAGGAGTCTGGTCTTCGCACAATGGTCTCACTCTCAATGCATGTGCTTGCAGAGACGCTTCACAGTCTACTTGACACGTACTGCATCTGTGCTGCTCCCTTTCTCTCTCGTCCAAGACCATTCCGTCCTTTGCTGGCCGCAGTGCCGTCTTCCAATAAAGCAGCTGCATACTATCATTCTCGGCTTAGAACGGCGGCTTGCCAGGATACGTTGGGCAGATGTCTCAGGTGAAACGGGGTGCATTCATTACAGTGGCTTGTTTGGTGTAGATGAGAGATTGGCCGGCATATTGGGTTCAAGAAGCATCCCTTTCTGCTTACGGGGAAACTCGGCTGTGTGCCGGCTTGGACTATGCCCTCTCGGCGGCTGGCTAGAAGCTGTTACGACGCTGGGCAATGCATTGGGTTTCGATGCTCTTCGAGAAGAGAATGCTTACCTTACATGAGAATATCATGATAGTCTGTTGGTGTACGGCAAGTCATCATGTCTATGTACCATATCAGCGTCACTGTTCCTGAACTTCAATAGCCGAGACTCTTGGACGTCACTTTATATATCTTCAAATCCCAGCTGTCTATTGTGTTTCCATTGGCCTAATCGCATTGAAATGGCTGCATCCCCTTGACGCGCCTGCAAGCACGCCGAGCAATAAGGTGGTTTGCCTCTCCTGGCCGGTTACATCCCCTGCTTACCCTACAAGGACCGCGAAGCTTGCCAGCAATTCTCATATGCTCTTCATATCCGAAGGCTTCAGTATTGTCGTACGTTTTCATCATGTACAAAGAATGTTTTTTCCTTTGCATGATGCCCTTTGCTGGCTCTAAATCGATTCTGGCCGATTCGATGGCGACATCGAATCATGTGATTTTCGCAAGTTCTAAACTCAACCTCGGTGACGCTTCACCAGTTAACACACCTCCCCACTAACAACGCCTTTCTTCGCCTTTATAGCTCATCACTGCAATAAGCTCTTGAATCCTCTATTGATTGCTATCCAAGACCGGACAGACGCATGAGAAGAGACTTACATCCAAGATTGACAAACCAAGGAGAATCAAAGAAGGCACACAGCCATGCCCTCAAAAACCTCCCGTCTCACAGGCGTCAAAGCCCTCCTCTTCGACGTCTTCGGCACAGTCGTAGACTGGCGCTCCTCCGTCACCGACGAGCTCTCCCTGCGCATCTTCCGCAAACAACAGTCCTCCTCCGGCCGCTCGGAAGAAGAAGCAAGCAGCAGCCTCTCCCCGGCGCTTCGGACGCGGCTCGAGGCCCTCGCGCAGAGCGACTGGGACCGCTTCGTGCAAGAGTGGCGGGACTCGTACAACGCCTTCACGCGGGCCTTTGACCCCGCCACGGACGAGTGGAAGAGCATCGACGAGCACCACCGGGAGAGCCTCGTCGAGCTTCTCCGGCGGTGGGACCTCGAGGGCCTGTTCACCGAGTCGGAGATTCGGAGCCTGAGCCTCGTCTGGCATCGGCTCGCCCCGTGGCCGGACTCCGCCGAGGGTCTGGAGAGGCTGCATGGGCGGTACACCACGGCCACGCTGTCCAACGCCAACACCAGCATCCTGCGCGACCTGAGCGATTTCGGGGGCCTCGTCTTCGACAAGGTCTTCTCGGCGGAGACGTTCCGCGCGTACAAGCCTGATCCGGGGACGTACCTCGGGGCGGTGCGCGGGCTGGGCTTGCGGCCGGAGGAGGTGGCCCTCGTGGCGGCGCACATGAAGGATCTGCGTGCGGCGAGGGACCTGGGTCTCGGGACCATCTATGTTGAGAGGCCGGCGGAGGAGGAATGGGGGAGGGAGGAGGAGAGGTTTCTTGAGGCGAGGGGGTGGGTGGACTTGTGGGTTGCGGAGGGGGAGGGCGGGCTGCTTGGTGTTGCGGAGAAGTTGCGCGAGTTGGAGGGAGTTGATTGAATAAAAGGGGGGGGGAGGGGATGCTGTTGTTGGAATGGGGATATGTGTGGGAGGAGGAGGGTGTATTCGACTTGCGTTGGGGGACTTGCTTGGGTTCTGGGTTGGTGTTTGAGACGGCAAGACTGGAGAGGAGAAGCTTGGTGCTCACGAGCATGTTGTTCGCTTGTGATGAGGCTGGGGCGAATATAGGTCGAGTAACGATAGTGATAAGTCTGATGGGCAGAAGCCTTGTTGTCTGTCATTGATGTCCAGCTGTGAAGCCGCAACGCCGAGTGACAGCAACGATCTATTAGAAGGTGTTCATGATGAAGACGACCAAGTAGTAGTCGTCACGATCTTCGGAGAATTGTAACCTTGCAGCATCTTTCGCATTAGACCAATGTAGAATATGGAATCACAAGTCGTAAATAAAAGATATGACGCGGCGTCGAGTTGTCTTGTAGGATTATACACGGTTTCAGCTGAAGAGAGTTGCCTGCTCGCTGGCCAGCTGAACATGTCTCGGACAATTCACCAGATAATGTCTGAGCAAGTAGCACAAGTCATCAAGAGATATGGACGCCAAAGGCAATAGACCGCACTGATATAGGTTCACCGTTATCACGTTATACATAGGCGAGTGTTTACCTTGCAGAGCTGAAAAGGAGTCAGATCAGTCAGCCACAACATGATACAAAACCATGATAGTATATCATCCAAGTGAGCCGCAGTTTTTCAACTGGAGCTATGCCCCGAGGCTTGTTTCTCCATCCTCACCACGGGCCGAGGACCACGACCTCTCATTGGTAGCTGTATGATTCATTCAACGGCATATCAGGGCCAAGGGGCGCATATTGGACCCGTTCAAGGCGATACTGTGTGCCAGCGGCTCCTATTCGGGAGGACCCGAGGTCTTGATCCATGGGGCTGAAAACCGGCAGGGTCTTTCGGATGCCGTCGCCGACACAGCTGAGTCAAAGTAGACGCAAAGGTCATTGGCACAATCAAACACTTACAAGGGCATGGAGATTCCTGGAGGCTCGCCCCATGAAGTGTCTTTCCCATGTCAGGCCCGCAATGCTTCGTACGCGGCTGCCAGTGGTATCTACACCAACAGCTGGCTCTTTTGCTCCCACGATGGCCCAGCTGCGACAGAACATGCCTTTGTGGTACACATACTTTGTATCAGTACAAACGATCAGCTAGTGACGGCCGCAAGCATAAAAGACTGTGACCCCCACCGCCGAGCTTACTCGTCTTGATGAGGGGGGGCACAAACGACGTTGAAGAACGCTGAGGACATCTATCTATTTACCCGGAGACCTAGAGGTCAGCGGCAGTACGGAGTGGAAATGGGCCGGTTCGGTGAGCGAATCTGGGGCTCGGGATCGACTTGTTGTCCGCGGGTCAGCATCACCCGCGTTCCGGTATGCAGGGAAGACGTGGGATGGGAGAGCGGTTAGCCCAAGATGACAACCGGATAAGCTCGGTTGCCAGACCGGGAAAGGGAGCCTTGACCACAACGACATGCTTCCCCGCGCTGACGCAGTGCTACAGTAATCAGAGGAAAGATTGCAAGTTTCTTGTGCACGGTAGCAATATGTAGCATGCATGTTTGCCGTCAGAATCAGCGTGTCAGTAGGTGGTCGACCTCGTGATCTCGTAGGTAGTAGCACGTTCTTCGGCCAGCATCAAGCAGCCAATGGATGAGAGAGACGGTTTGTAGTTGCCAACTCGAAGTGGTGAATATTGCGCCGCTCATAAGCGACAGACGCAAGATGATCCCCGACGGGCGTGACTCTCTCTTGGCTGACGATTTGAAAACGTATTTGGATATAAGGCTGTGCAAGTCCGACGAGCAGCTTGAGCAGACTTCCACGTAGTATCTGCATAAGACGCTATTGGAGGAGGAAAAGAGCAGGGCAGTAAGGCGGTTGGTAGTGCCGACGTCCTGTGTTTGCTCGTACTTTGCAAAGAGCCGCAAGCGCAAGGTTGCGGCGTAAGTGATACCCGTGCTTAGACGGAGGTACAGTGATATGTTGCTCGCAATGGTTGCCAGGGCTTGTACTTCGTATCAGGAACGTAGCTGTCCAAACCGTTGTACATGCGAAGTAATACGAAGTACTACAGAGCAGACGATCAGGGTATTGCCCGCCAACCCTCAGTGCCATCGTCTTCATCGGCGTCGTCGGCTGCGTGTTGAGGGGCTGCAGTTTGCGGCCTGCCGCTGCGGGTCGTTGCTCCACGTCCTCAGCAAAGCTAGGCTAGGCTCCCACGCACGCGGCGGGTGGTTGGGGGGCATATCCGCACAGATGCTGGTTGTCGAATGCCGCCCTCGGAGACAAAGGATCAGATTCGCCTTCTTCCTGGTTAAGGCGAGGGACCGCTGCATGTATTCGTCCTGGATCGCCCGGCACGGCCAGCTTGCGGCGGCTTTGGTCTCAGCCCAATATAAGGGTCCGAAGACTGCAAGGTATAGTCTAGATCTATGCCGAAATAGCGGGCTGTGGTGACATGGCGAATATGGTACTTCGTAGTAGTCGCCGGCAGACGTGAGCTCTTTGGCCTTTCGTCTCAAACGAGATACCTAATATGCCAAGTATGAGATGCTGCACACGGAGTACTAACACCGCACTGCACTTGCGAGGGCTGCGTGGTGCGTGTAAGCGGCTGACGAGCTGTTAAGCGGGCATTTTCAGCACAAGGGACATGGCAGCTGTCATCTCACACGAAAGGCAGGCCACATACATACCGACTCTGGCAGCATGAAGGAGGAGACTACATCCACAGCTTACTCTGCGGTGGGTTCGTCCTATGTGAACCCCCCCGGTTCACGCACGGCCGTATGCATACTGTAAATGGGCGATGCGGACGCGAGTGACTGGAAGGATGTTTCTCCAAACGGAAAGTTGGGCACTTGGGCAGAAGCGTCAGGTTCGGGGCGGAAATGGTTTCCGAAAGGAGACGCTGAGGTGGCAAAACGACGCCTGTATCGTCCGTATGTATGCACATGCAAACATGGTCTTGCCGCTGCCTCCAGGTCTGCTGCTGATGCTCCATAGGTACGACGTACGAGCAGGTATGTATGTATGCTTGCGACCCTGACAAGTTATGGCATAAGCGGCCAGTCCCTCGATTCTCGCCGTTCCGCCTTTCGTCCAGTTTTCCGAGTCGATGCCGGCCATGGACGACGTGGTGCCGTAGTACATACACACGGAGTGCTGCCATAGGGACCAGCAGCAAAGAATCAGACCATTGAGCTCATGGCCCTTGTCTGCACGTTCTGATAGCGGCGTTGCTGGGATCTCAGGACGGCAGCATGGCCAGTCTGGAGTACTTGTACGCGATCAGGCCGGCTGATACATACTGATAACTCATACATAGCACCAGCAGAGCACCCAGCGTCGTGCTCCGTAGGACTAGTACCCAATAGTAGCACCGCTGCTCGCACAAGTAGGCGCTCGGCTGCCCGTTGAGCGTCTGAAGCTGCGGTTCCGACCGCTAGCTCAGCCGGCGGTGCAGATCGACGGCTTCTGAGAGGCTCGCCGCTGAAGCTGCAGCCATGCTTCCGGCTCTGCTGGCATGGGCGCACGTTCGCTTCCGCCATGGCTCCGCGCTACGGATGCAGCAGCGCTCTCGCCGGCGGCCGTAGTCGTAGTACTCGATGGACATGGGCGACGCTGAACTTTGTGCGAGAACAGTGCTGCTTTTTGCCACAAGCCTGCTTGGTCGAGCAGGTTCTAGCCAGCAACAGCAGCAGCAGCAGCAGCAGCAGCAGCAAGGGGAGGCAGCAGCAGCGCGTTCAGCCTGGAAAGGCGCAGCGCCGGGGCTCGAGCGTGTGCTTGAAAGCATGGCGGGCCATTGGACGCTTTGGCGGCAGACGCTCGTGGGCGTTCGGGTCGCCCCGGCAAAGGGCAGAGTGGCAGAGCGTCAGGATGCTCGCCCGACTGGCAGAATTGCAGCCAGGTTTGCGAGCGCGAGCTGAGCGAAGGCCTGGGACTGGGCAAGCTGGGGTTTCGGGCCCCGCAGGTTGGCACATGTCGTGCTCGTGTGATGGCAGCAAGACGGCGGGCTTGCTGCTGCATATACCAGACCACTTGTATCCCATGCCACGAGGAGCTTCCGACTGGTTCGGCTGGGTCGAGTCGGGGAGGGAGGCGTTCGACGGCGGTTGGCTAACATGGGACGGAGTGATGTCCACGCCGGCGGCTGGCCGATTCGTGCTGAGCAGGGCATGGAGGAGGAGAGAGGACGAGGGAGAGGCGAAGCCCTGCCCAACCGTTGATGTGGCTGAACGGTTCAAAGCTCACAAAGAGCAGGCAGGAAAGCGGTGATCCAAATTGCCGTAACCGGTGCTTCGTAAGAGGTACATGCAGCACATGCGGTTGAGTAGGCACTTTGGCAAGTACCAACAACCCCGGGGTAGGTAGCGAAAGGATATCGATCCTGCGGCCTGGATACTGTACATATAGAGAGCCATGCTGCGCACTGGTGCCGGCGCTCGGTGTGTTTCCGCTGCTCGGAGGATTATGGAACCAGCATGGACACCAGATGAGATTCCAGCTGCCACGGCCTTGCAGTAGTAGTAGTATAAGGCATCTCATCCCGCTCAGGGCTGCCCAGGTCTGTCGGGTAGCACCGCTGCCGGTCGATGAAGTCTCAACTCTGATACAGGCCGGTACGGGCAGGTACCTAAAGCCAGGTGCTGCTGAAAGGGCACAGAACGGCCTCGCCTTTGCCTTTTGTTTCCAGCTCGGACTTTCTCTTCATGTCGATGCTCAGACATGTCAAGGGAATCCCACTCGACGGAGTCTCGTGGACGTTCTTTATTTAGGTACATGTAGGCGCGCCTTCAGAGTGCCAATGGCTTTCAAGGTTGAAGTCCAATCCCTTGTTGTCGCACTCTGACATAATCCGAGCGTAACGGCGGGCCGGATCAGTATGTACCAGGACTTTGCTCGCATTCGCAGCGATTCTGTAAGGTAACCTCTCGATTCACCGGCTGCAGCCGTGGTACCTGTACTTCAATGCTTTGCGCAGATATCGCCATTTGAACCCATCCAATTCGCTTCAACTCGCTCGCTCACAGCATCCCCCTCTCTCACTCCCCCAAGCGTCCCCAGCGTTCTCCTCTCTTCTTCTTCCCCCCCACAGCTGCAGCTGCAGCTAAGGTACTACGACTACTTACCTAGTACACGCCTAGTACCTAGTACCGCTGGGGCTCCCTTCCTAACAGTTAGCGTCCGCAGCAGCCAGCCAGACAAAGAGCAAGAACAAGAGCAAGCCCAAAGAGCCGCCCCAGACGCTTTGGCCGCATGGCTGTCGGGGCCGCAGAAAGCTCAACCTAATCCATGTCCCGCCAACGGCGTGCGAGAATTTTAGAGAAAAATGCTGAACCCTGCGCTGTGCAGGAGTGTGATACGATACCGGCGGACGCAGGCTGCAGACGGACAGCCAGCCTCCTTGCCCGGCTGGGGGCCTTGGGAGGGGGATGAGAATAGGGGATCATTGAGCGGACTGCGAATGCCTGTACCTGTACATGTACATGCCTGCGCCTGTACCGTTACCTCTGACCTGCCAGGCTGCCATGATGGTCAAGAGAATGGAATTGATTTAGTATTCATGCCTGTAGCCTCGCACTGCGTCCTTTTGGATGTTGCTCAGCGCATTTGGCTGCTCCAGCTGCGCGTCCAGCTTGGCGCTGCGCAAGAGTCCGGCGCTGCAGCATGTCGAACTTGCAAGGAACATGAAGCATATTACCAAGTATCTGTACCTGCGCGCCTCAACAAGCAACCGTTGAGCTCCAATCAATCAATCAATCAATCAACTGGAATCCAATCCAATGGCACCAGCTCGAGTTGAGTTCAGATTTTAGCCTCTCCGCAAATAGCACTCGACTTGTTTATCCAGCTGCATCTCTGCTGCTGCTCGCTCTGCAACTGGCGTCCGCTCCGTCCATGCATCAATTAACCTGCTCCGTACCCACGTTTTGCGCACTGCATTACATGGCATTGCATGCTGCTACCTGATATTGATGGGTGATTATACCAGTCTCTCCATGTCGCCCTGGGCCAAAAAAAAACACGAACCCTGCCTGTCCTCTCCGTTCATGTTAGCACGCGCCACCTGCAGCTAAGTAACAAGGTACTTGACCTCCAGGCTATTCCTACAGCGGCCAGCCCTCAAAGAGGCCCCCCCCTATCAGCAATCAAATGCCCTGTGGCCAAGCTCGACGCCTGCTATCCCAAATCCAAAGCCGGGACCCGCCACAACCCACACCTGCTGCTCCACCCAAAAGTCCACTGGACCAGCTCCAGAGACGCCCAAAGCCAAAGCACTTGATCTCCGGCTTGCTGAACTGGACTGAACTAGAACCACTAGAGCTGCCACAAACATCCATTCATCCCCAGACAAAACCGCCATTCCGCCTGGTCCAGATTCCCCAATTGCACCGCTTCGCACCAGACAGCAGCATCCCGTCGCCGCCCCATTGCTCGCCTCCGTCGCTGCGCTCTTTGGCCTCCCGTGTCCCCGTCCAGCGCTGCTCCGCCTCGCCAGTGCCTCTTGCATCTGCTGCCTTGCTTCGGCTTCAAATCATCCATCCATATCCCCCCCTTCCCTCCCTTCGCAGCGCCGCTAGCGGGCTCTTGGATTCGCCGGCCATCAACCATAACCCGAGGATTGCCTGTCTGAGCTCGGTCGCTCAACCGCTCTGACTTTGCGCCCATCATGGCGGGCAGAATGGTGCTGTACAAGCTGGTGGTGCTGGGAGACGGTGGTGTCGGCAAGACGGCCTTGACCATCCAGCTGTGTCTGCAGCATTTCGTCGAGACGGTAAGCATTCAAACCCCCCTCTTCCGAATCAAACCAGCATTTTCGAAGGAAAAGAAAAGGAACACAAAAGAAGAAACAGGCGAAAGGGGAGGGAGAGGCGTGGGAGATGGAACAGGGAGGAGAAATCACCGACTCTTTCTTCCCCTCTCCTGACCGATTGGGCGGACAGCCTCCGCGGCGGTAGCGCATGAGGGGCAGAGCAACAGGAAGCTCCCATCCGCCCAGAGCGAGACGAGCGATGCATTGGATGCAACTTTTTCTTGGCTAACGTTCGACGTCTACAGTACGACCCGACGATTGAGGATTCGTACCGCAAGCAGGTCGTCATCGACGGCCAGCCCTGCATGCTCGAGGTTCTCGACACGGCCGGCCAGGAGGAATACACAGCGCTGCGAGACCAATGGATCCGAGACGGTGAGGGCTTCGTCCTCGTCTACAGCATCGCATCCCGCTCGTCCTTTACCCGCATCAAGCGCTTCCACCACCAGATCCAGCGCGTCAAGGAGTCGGTAGCCTCCTCGCCCTCATATCCCGGCTCGCCTCTGTCCGCCGCCAGCCCGCAGCTGCCCGTGCCCATCATGCTGGTCGGCAACAAGAGCGACAGGGTCACCGAGCGCGAGGTATCGACCCAGGAGGGGCACGCCCTGGCCCGCGAGCTTGGCTGCGAGTTTGTCGAGGCCTCGGCCAAGAACTGCATCAATGTCGAAAAGGCCTTCTACGACGTCGTCAGGATCCTACGCCGGCAGCGCCAGCAGGCCTCGCGACCCCCGGCGGGCGCCAGCGGCCGAGCCCGAACAAGCAATGGCGATGCGGGCGGAGCAGGCCGAGACACGCACCGCTACCGGCGCGGCAAGGAGGGCAAGGACGGCAAGTCCAAGTGCATTGTCTTATGAGCGGCTCTCACTCGTTCACACGATTCCAACTCGCGACAGAGAGCCCTTTTGAGGACTGGGGTTCTGTTGGATGAGGCGCGCGCCTAGTCGCGCATGCCTCGTTTTTCTTCCTTTTTCCTCTCCCCTTTGTGCTTCTCCTCATCGAACCCAGCATCCTCCTCTACTGGGACTTGTCCTCCTCGAACGGAATAGACTGGATCCTGGTATATGTCATACGTTGGCAGCAGACGAGCTGGCGCTCTGCTTCTGCCCCTCTTCCGGCTGCTTGGTGGGCTTGCCATATTGGTACATGATGACGACGACATTCGGCAACAAGAAATAAACAGAGAAAAGCATCTTTATTATGTTACACCTCACGGCTCCTCGATTGGCGCAAGGCGTACGAACCACCTGGGGACGCCTACACCCGCACAAGTCATACACACATCCGAACAAACCAAGAAAAAAGGGGAAAAAAAAGTGGTGGCATCATTTCGCGGCGCTGGTCTCTTACCAATGTTTATACTGCTACTACTTACTACTGGATAACCTGACGGTGCTCATTGATGATATTACCTGGAGGGAGACGGTTCACTCTGTTTCTTCTCTGGCTCCTACCCGACGATTTCTAATATGCACTGGCCGATGCCAAACTGCTGCCTTCATTCCTTCAATGCTTGTAGCGCCTCTCCTTGTTACCCCTGCGTCATTACCATTTCTTACTCTCTCTTGCGTTCATTTAAAACCCCCCTACAGACATGGAATGGATGGTCGCGGGTGTTCCAGGAGTCCCTTTTGGTTCGAGTCTTGCTTCTTCTTCTTACTCTTCTTCTTCTTCTTCTCGCTATTACCATCTCTTGCCGACTTTCGACAATTCCATCTCTACCTGCTCCCCTGTTCTTTTTGGGTTATAAAAAGTAAATTCACCGTACACGTCTTTTGGCACATGTCATGGATGGGTGTTTGATAGCGATATCTTGTTGGATTTCTTTGTCGAATCTGTTTATATCTTTATTTATCCTCCACAATGTGTGTGCTCGTTTCAGTTTTTGTTTTTTTTTTCCCCTTTGTTTCTTGGAGAAAGCTTCGGTTTCTAGACGACAATGGTATGGAAGAAGAGGATGTTGAATGCTAGAGGCTACCACTACTATCTGACTTGTGCCCTTGTTCCTCAAAGACGTTTCGTCTGCTGTCTCCCTTTGTCTTGTAAGTGAAAGCGAGGATGAGGTATGGCCTGTGCTACCCTTTGTCTGTGGAAACAACAAACAACATCAGAGAAATGAACAGAGCAAGACGAAAGCAAGAATGAAAATCTACATGGCATTGACGTTTCAGCGATGGCGACGTCTTCGAGCTTTCGATGATTTACTGTAAGGTAGCCGTATCTCAAGGTGCTGAAAATGGACGTGAAAGTTTGACTCTTTGTAGCCGTCCGAGTCTCCTGAAGTTATTGTCATCACATCCTCTGAATGTCTACAATTGAAAGACACGTGGATTTTCAAAAAAATGATGTAATGGTGCGGTCGGTGTTGCGGGCGTCAAACGCTGACGGATCAAGCGTATCTCTTTTCACATGACGAGATCTTGCAGCATTAGAGATTTGCATGTGCTTGTCAGGAGAAAGGACGCAAATCTACGAGACATGGGAGGGCATGGGACAAGATGGAGCTTTTCCAGTCGTGATCGACATGCAAATTGCTGTAGCGATCTGTACAAACTCGTGAAATCAATGGATGATTACCCAGTACTATTCAATCATATTGACCTTTTGGAGGAGAAACGAGATGGGGTGGGCTGCCTGCCCATCCTGGTGGAGTAGGGATGTGCAACGGAAAGGTCTTCCGGACTGGGGGACATTTCTGACTGTTTGTTTGTGGATATTTATTGACGGGTCGTATGGGAAATAGTAGAACGTGTTACTGTGAAGATGATTGTGGATTTTGGTTCTGACTTACTTGTAGTATCTGTCATGTGGCTCTCGATGAGGCATTGCACGTTGTGACTTGTGAGGCTGAGCGGTATAACTGGAGAAGATTGAACGGATTGGAGCTATATGGACTACTCGTGGTCAATGAAATAACTCATGAATGCTATAGCTAACGTTTGTCCTGACATATCAAAGGCGACAATGACCTCTACAAAGTCTCCCCTTTCCACCTATTCCCTCGCTGGCCCAACTTCCCGTACAGCACATGGCATAATCCAACCACATTCACTTGTGAGGCAAAACCCTCATTTTTCTTCGATGGCAGAGTTTTCCTCTCTTTACAGATTCGCTTCCCCGGTTAATAAAACCGGTAAAATGTCAACTCGAGAGGAAAAAAAAAACAAAAAAAAAACAAATAAGAAGTTACGATGTAGCCAGTCATAAACACCGAAAAATTGTCACATGTGGATTGCTTTGGAACTTGTCGTCGTCAAAAAAGCGACCAAAAAGTTGATGGCGTGTGAGTTTTTTTTGAGTTTACCTGCTGTTTTGAGCCCGGGCTGCTCAGGAAGTGTGGATACACACGGTCCCCCCTGTTCTAATTACTCCTGCCTTTGTGTCTAATACCGATGGGCTTGAAAGATAGGTATCTGTACACAAGATAGGTAGATTGATAGATATGGGAGAAGGGGTAAAAGCTTGATCTGAGAACTTTTGATGGGCACCGGTGATTTTGAGTTTTGGGTGTAAGCAGTTAGTTTTGGTTTTGAGGGTGTCACGTTGGAAACTCTTTTAGCTGGATGAAATACCATCGTGGATGAAGATTGATAACGGCAGTCGGACCACCCGTCCGAATCTTCTACAGAAATCTTCATCGGATTGTTTTTTCTAACATTGTCGAAGATTAGATGTGACAAAACCGAAACGACGAAAAGAACCAAAAAGCAATCCCCATGCAAAATTAGCCAAATCTATTTCCATTCACCACCCCCTGCCTCCATATCCCCGTCCAGCAATACTAGCATCATTCTCATTATGAACCCGGCATATTACTTCTATCCAATCCCGCGTGTCAAAAAAAAGGAGAAAACAAAAAGACACCAGATGAGTTTTTCTTCTTCTATTAATCCCGGATCTCTTGCAATGCAGATAAGCGATAAAGAAACAAATTGGGCCAAGCCGAAATTGAAAGTGACTGCTGTTTAGTAGGTAGGTACTTTCTGCAATCTACAAAAGGGGTGGCAGGTCCTCGTCCAAGTTTCACATGTCTCCTCCAGCAGACCCCGACAGTATTGCTGCCAAAAATAGGTACGAACAGGTAATAAAATTGCTTCTAGAATTGATGAAATGAAATGAAATGCAAATGAGTAAACGAGTCAAGATGATGAAATAATAAGCCGTACATGGAAATCATCGTCATCTCATCTCTTTGACAGACAACATCTGGCTTCAATGATAAATCACAACAAAATCTTCTCTTTATAAACAGTGGCTGACCGCCTCTTTGGCCTTGAAAACCCCTTGAGCTGCCCTCATGCTGTTGTTCATGCCAACAGGCGACTCGCTGTCTACGTCCTTCTCATGATATGCCACGCAAGGGAGTCGAAAAGGTTGACACGCGGCCACTGTCTCAGTCACTCTTCCCTACACAAGAGGTGAAGCCCTTCGTACAGTTCACCAGCGCCATGCCTCGACTCAGCGTCACAACATCAGATCGAGTGCCAGTAATCGTTTCTATTCAAGATAGTCAAAATCGAGCACACCAATAAATGTCCGCATTTTGCTGCTTCAAGCCGTGCCGCCATCTGTCATATCAAATCCCTGCGACATTTGTCCCGATCAAAGACGCCGTAACCCGTAATTTGAAGATCTTCTCTCATCGCTCAAGAAAGCAGGGGTCTCCAAAAAAATATAGTACGAAAAGTAGAAATCAGATGTAGAGGAAATGGAGGGGAAAAAACAAAGAAAATAAGGTCCACATATCACTTCACCCATGAATATGAATGTGTAAATAGAAAGCCATCAAAACGTGACCGCTCAGTCCTTGGTTTCGTGCTCATCGCCAAATGGGCTAGATTCACGCTTTTGGGAACCAGATCTGACGTCGTTCTCTTTGGTAGACGACCTCTCTCTGCTAGGTGAGGGAGCCTCGACGGAGATTTGGGGCGTCGACGGGTCCGGAGGGTCGGAGAACGGCCCCTGGTCGGCTGTCGTTGTTTCTCCCGAGCTCGTGGGAGGGGTTTTGCTGCTTGCTGAGCTTGGTGATTTTGAGATGGATGAGCTGCCATCCGGCTTGGAGGCAATCTCCACCATCCTCAGTCCGGAGCCGCCCACCTTGACGACCTGAGCACGAGCCGGGGTGACGGTATTGGCATTGTTGAGGAACGTAGAGCCGACGCTAAAGTTGCTTGCCGCGCTCTGAGGTCGCAGGTGCTGGGAAGAGCTGAACTTGTCCAAGTCGAGGCTGGGAACCGGAGGCGTGTTGGGCGAGCTCGAGCCGGATTTGACGCTGACCATGGTGGGCTTGGCCCGCATGCCAGTTTGGGCCGGCGTCAGGACCTGCTGCTTGCCGCCGCCAAAGATGGTGGACGCGATGCTGGAGCGAGGCGGAGCAAACGAGGTGCGGTCTGAGAAGGCGGAGATGCCGGAGTAGGTCGAGTCCCGCAGGTTGCCGGGAACGAAGAAATGGGGGTTATCGGCCGACGAGTCGCGGTAGCCTTCGGTGTGGTGCATGGGGATCGGCGGAACAGGGGGGACCAGGACGTTGGGTGACGCAGGCGTGGCTCGGTTGGTGACGCCGGGAATGTAAGCGATCTGGATGATGTTGGAGGCGCGCGTGAGGACGGTCGAGGCGATGGAGTGGACGGTGTGCGTCGATCCGCGGCGGGTGACGCGGTTGCCGTTCTTCTCGCCGCCCGGGATGGCGCTCTCTTCGACTCCGTACACCGACTGGGAGAGCCGCCTCTTGGGCTTGATGAGGAATCTCCAGACTAGATAGGTGATGATGGCAATGGCAGCAATGCCGCCGACGACACCGCCGGCAATGGGGCCAGCGCTGGGCCCGCTGCTGCCTTTGTCGCCGCCGCCGTTGTTGGGCGAGTCGTTGACGGCACAGAAGGACTGCGGGCATTGCGTGCAATCGAGCGGAACGGTGAACTGGCAGCTCTCGTTGGACTTGCAGGACGGGCACTGGAGCTTGGATGTGTCGTCGCACTTAACGCAGCCGCCAGCTCGGGGGACCAGTCTCATCACTGCCATTGACCTTTCGGTTAGCTACCACGGCGAGGCACGGCGCTCTTCTTTTCTTACCTTCGTGCAGTTCCGTCAGGTCCCTCGCAACGAGGAACGATGTGGTGTCCATCTTTGGCGATGGGTACTTGTGGCGATTTTCGGGAGGGAAATAACAATAGGTTTGGCGATTGACGCTGACCGATTCGATCCTGTCAAATCGTAGTGGTGATTTGCGTCGGCGACGGGGGGCTGAGCAAGAATGCGACAGACGATGGCGACTTGATGATATCGCGGCCTCGGAATGTCGAAACAATCGTGTTCGTCAAATTATGTCGATCCTTTCTTCTTTTCCTCCTCTTGTCTTCTCCCAAGCTGATGACGGTTTGAATGGTTCGATTTGTCGGCAAAAAAACGAATGAACTGGAAGCCGCTTGTCTCGTCGTGCAGCGATCCAAAGACAAGCGGGAATTGTGAGAAATGGAGTGGACTGAGTCTAGCTCAGAGATGATAACAACCAAAAAAATAACGGAAGAAAAAACCAAAATCCAGATGATAGAAGAAAAAGAGCGTGGGTGGTTTGAACAACAACAGATGCTAGATCGTAGACGAATAGAAAGACATCATCGGCCTTGGCGAGAGTCGAGGTGGAAAAAAGAGCAGAAAGAGGCGAACGGACGGGAAAAGCTGGTTCCTGCTGTTTCGCTCGACACGCTCGGAGTATCGTTTTTCTCTCTTTCTTTCTCTCTCCTCTTTTTGGCTGTCCTTTCTGGCTTTTGCTGGGTCGCTGATTGATTGTCGCTCGAACAGACCAGGAAGAGAGAGAAAAAGAGGGCGAAGCAACGGGGTGGTGAGAAGCGAAAGAGCGAACTGCGCTTGTTTGGGGGGGGCTGCGGCAGAGCGACATGAGCCCACTGGACGCTAAGCAGGACCGCTGTAAAAATTGAGGTCCAGGTACCTCAGTGCGACGCCGTGCAGTGCAGCGCGGCCAAAGTACCTGCCCAGCCGAGACCAACAACTTCAAGGTACATGTATCGTACAGGCATCAGCAGCGCCAAGTTGCCCTTCCATGCAGAAAACGGCCGACTGTCCGCTGCAAAGAACGCAGAAAGATGGAACCCCCCCAGTTGACGATGGGGCCCGCGTTTCTGGCGCCAGGGGCAGCATCAGGGCACTAGAGCCGCTTGTGGTCTAGCCGCCCGCTCGCGCACCAGGGCCTGCGCACAGTGCATGTTGTCGCGCGCCCCACCCGCTGTTTTGGGCTGTTTTGGGCAGGCCGGGGGGGCTGCTCTCGGGTGCTGTCGGGCGCTGCGAGGCGCTGAGTGGCCGCGGCGCGGGAGGCGGGCGGGGCGCTGCGCTGGTTGACAGACGGTACGGACACTGTGCGCCGACACTGTAGCCGCCTGCGCCGGTCCCCTCATGGAAGCCATTGTCGCTAATCCAGGCACCAAAAGGCCGCTGCAGAAGCCCGCTAGAGAGCACGAGGCACGCGGCCCTTGTTTGTTGGCGTTTGAGAGCGTGTTGCAGCAATGTGGATTCGCATTGGATCGGAATGGGCATGAGATTCCCATGAACAATGCGCCGCAAATGGCCCTGTTCCCCTCCCATTCTTTGCCCTTTCCTCATTTTTCACGTTTCCTTTCGAAGCCTTGTCGGGATGGAATCCTACTCGACGCTTGTTGATCCGCCGTTCCCGCAGGTGCACAGGTACAGAAAAGCACTCTAAATACAGGTACGGCATCTCCATCTATCTAATGTTAGTAGCCCTCAAAATGCATGGGAGCATTGCGGTTGCAACATTGAAGGGTTCAGGTACGAAGCACTAGCAGTAGTAGTAATCCCCAAGCATATGAACCATACGAACTACCCGGTGTGGTCAAGCTCCGTTCCGGTCCAGTGCTTCGTATTCTTCAAGTTATCAGATGCGCTGCCACTCGTTCCGGGGACACGTAATGCAATCAATTGCCGCCTTCCGCCGAGCTGACTCTTTGCCTCACCGAGTCGCCGGCTGTCCTTACGGCAGAAATACTTGTACTGAATAAATAGTACATACACACAAGACGAGACATGGAAATCGAAAATAGTAGTCGGCGCCAAGGACGCGTGGTCTCGCCGTGTCAGTGAGTGCACCCGGTGCGACTTTGCACCAGACTACTGCTATTAGTAGAACTACTACTACTACCTAGCTAGACTCTCATATACCTAACTAACTCAACGCCTCGCAGCCCGCGTGGGACGACGACGTTTCCACAGATTCAGCCCAGCCCGCCGGATCCAATCATCTCTCGTCTAAAAGAGATTTTGTCCAGTTGCCAGCTTCTACTGCTAGTATTACTGGAGCAGTGACACGGGTAATACCACACACATACTATGGTAATAAAAGGGACGCACAAAGAGTTGTTGAGGGATGAAGAGCATTCCATTCCTTTCCATTGGCGAGCAAAGCGGCTCATTCAATCTTCGCTCAGCTGAACCAACTGGCCGCCACCACCACCAATGGAACGCGATGTGCAAAAGGGAAAAGAATAGATAATGAGTAACTGGCCGTCCAATCTTGACTTTCTTGCTCTCTTCCCTTTGCTTGTTGTTGCTGCTGCTCGTCCCGTCTATCAGCATTTGCCGCATTGCGTAACAAACAAGAGACTGCATGTGCCTTACACACACACACGCTCTCTCGCAGCACCATCACGTCCCTCCTCGTAAAATTAGACAAATTTGCCAACGCAGCAAATCAGCACTCGCTGCTCCCCCGCCATCTTCGAGCACGATGACATGGCAAATGAATGTGTTCCCCCCAGCACAGGGGAAATGATAGTCGTCAGAGACACACACGCGGTTCGCACATGCAAGTACCAGCCTTTTTCCCATTCTCTGGACCAACACCATCTGGCAGAGAGATATGGAGTCCTACTGGGAGCCAGATCAATACTGCTACTAGTACTACTACCAAATGGAGAAGTTACAAGGTAGCAGAGCAGAACTGCACAGCTGAGAAGAGGCTCTCGCTGCAATGTCACTTGTTGTTATCTCGCTGCATTTCCCACCTTGTTGGTTAGTGCTGCTACGTGAGGTTGAATCCCGCCGTATCCGTGGGCCACCAGCTTGTATCGACATACGAACAATTGCGACTCTCAGATATCGCTCGCCGGTATCGTGCCGATCCTTCGTTCTGGAACATGGCCGCCCTGTCTTTTTTCCCTCATAGGCGAAGAAAAGCCCGTTGCAGATATGAGATTCACGAGCCACGGCCATCCTGTCTCAATGGGACACTCATGCAGAATACCACGACGGTAATAGTTGTCTTGATGTTGTAAATAGTAGATCATTCGAATGCTTCTGAAACGTCGTAAATCGTCGTGACAAGATAGTGCCATCATTTTATCCCTATAACCTCCCGACCTTTTCACGCATAGGCTCAAGCAATTCTAGAGTACAATCCCACAAAGATCTATAGCTTCCCAATAGTACCATGAATACTCAAACTCCAACATCCCTCCCATGCCCCGTCCCGGCCGCCCATCGGGGCCCCCACCATCATTCTCTTTTCGTTTCTGGCTCGGAACCTAGAGGGGCTTTACGCATTTGACGCGTCGTTGTTGCTCTGGGAGCTGGCGCTCATGACGGGCTTGTTGGTCACGGGCAGCGACATCTTGGCCTTTTCGCCCTGGCGAACCTTGCCCCAGGCGTACACGAGACCGCTGACGAATCCAATCATGATGGCGGAGACGCTGCCAAAGGTAACGGGGGCGTCGAAGAAGATGAGGCCGCTGACGGCGATGGGCAGCTTGTTCAGCGCGCCAACCATGGAGTAGGTCGTCGACGACGTAACGCGGATGCACCAAGCAGACGAGTAGGAGATGAAAATGGCACACAGACCAGAGTACACCATGCCGATAATGAGCTTGGTTCGCGTCTCCTCGGGGAAGTTTCGAGCCAGGTTCTCGGCAGACCAATCCTCAACCAGAAGGGAGCCAACGATGAGGACAGGGATGGTCAGGAAGTTGTTGTAGAACATGGCTAAGGAGAATGTTAGCACCTAAAGCATCTCATCGCATATGAAGCAATCACTCACTGTCCCAGTCCTTGAAGCCCATCTTCTTAATGACCTTGCGCATGCCCAGGACAAAGGCAGCCTGGCAGATGACGTTCAAGGCCATCCAGGTATATCCCACTTGCAGAGTGCTGAACTCCTGAGACGCCTTTGACGAACGCCCGGCCGCATCGGCATCCGCCCACGCAGCAACAATGGAGCTGAAAATCATCAGGCCAAAGGAGAGCAGAATCGTCGGGGTAACGCTTCCCCCAAACCAGAGAACCTCTCCGTAAGCAATGACAATGATGGTCAAGTTCTTAAAGATGGTATACACGGGCACTGAGATGTACTGAAGCGCCTTGGCGCCAGTATAAATCATGCCAACCAGAAGAACAGACACGGGGAACCCTAGAAACAGAATGAGCAACTCTGCTTGCCAATGGACCGGATGATAAGTGCTCACATTTCTTTCCCTTTTCCGGATCAAAGGGAGACAGGTTGGTGATCAGACCAGCCTGCTTGCAGGCTTGAATGGCAGCTACGCAGACAATAGACTGTTTTGTACCTCGGTTAGCAACCGTGCTTCAGGGGAGAGAGATGCCATAGAAGACGGAGAGGTGGGCATTACTTGGATAGCAAGATAGAGAAAGTTCATGTTCCATGAGGAACCAGACACGACGTATTTGTTGACGACCGTCATGCTGATAGACGACAGGCAGTAACCCAACACTGAGGCTCCGGGGCTGTTGTCGATCTTGGACCAGTCGAAGCCGCCAGAGTGGCCGCGCGGCGACGGTGAGCGCGAGTACGCCGTCTGGACCTTGCCGCCATCACCACTCTCGCCCAGGTCTCTTAGGTTGACGCCGTAGTCGTCATTCTTCTTGTCCGACATGATGGAGCAGCTCACCGAGACGGGGGCGCCCAGACAGCCAAAGGAGATGAGAAGGAGTGATAGGATGAGAGCGAGCCTGAGGTGAGTTGATGCGTCGCTAAACGGCTTGCGGCTCCACGCGAAAGAAAGTCAGGTCAGGGCCAACGATGGCGCGATCTGCGTTTCCAAAGGGAGGAAAAGGGAAGACGGAGGGCAATCAAACGAGATGCGCTTCTTCTGGAACAAGGCAAGAGATGAAGGCTATGCAAGAACCGCAGCGTTTGTGAAGACCGCTCTTTGCCAGAACACGTACTCCCTAATACTTACTCCTAACTCCGTACATACAGATTTCAGGAGAACAAAATCCTCCAAGGTTGGGAAATTTCATCTCGATCCCTTTGTGGGGCGCCCGGCCCAAAGGGGCTTAGCGAGATGGGCGCACCGCCTCGCACCTTTGGCACATGTGCTCCGTATCAGGTACGGGTTTAATATCTGGTGGTAGCCTTTCCACGCAGAGTGTGGCAATTGCCTCGATAAAATATCACTTAATTTTGGAGAAGAGGCAAAAGAGGTGCGGGATGTGTTTGGTACGTGTACATGCAAGTTGCAAGTGAGAGACACGCGCGTATCAGAAGGGTAGCACACAAGCAAACCAATGAACCGACAGCATCTGGCAAGACAAGGCGCGGATTAGTGATGTTGACACCGCAACCGATATCAACAAACGACATCTCTTTCTGCAGCATCGCGGGGTTTCTGCAAATCAAGCTATTTCAACTGTCGAGATTAGTAGAATGTATGCCTGTATCTGATATCAACTAGACTACATACCTACAAACCGACAATGCCGGCAGCGTGGCATTTCGGCTGTCCCGCAGCGCTGCCGGGCATCGATGCCTCTGAGATGCGGCATCACTGCAGGCATCGTTGCACGGAAACCAGGTGGCCTGCCGCTTCTCTGGTTGGACACTCAAAAGGTGCGGAGTACGGAGCTGCTCCGTAGATCACCGAATAGCTATTTACTGGTACGTAGTATTTTGGACGCCTGTAAGCCGAGATTCACAAAGAGATTCGTCCAAAAAGTCCATGGAGTTCAAATCGTCTGTATCCGAAAAGAGAAATGCTAGGCCAAGGCAAATCGATTGCTGTGCACGGGCATACCGCACTGTGCACACTGTCCAAAAGCCCCTCCGGACTGGGTACTCAGGGTCCTACCAGGTACAAAGCAGCCGTAAGATCAGCAGAAAGCCTTACCACTGCGGCGTAGCTTCACGCAAGGCAGCAAATGATTCTGCGAGGAAGCAGACAAAGTACGAGGAGAGGCAGAAACAGAGGCAAAGATCTACTTTGGCGCATGTGAGGGTACCTGGACTGTGGCTGCACCGCCTCCACAGTGCTGTGGGCGCGGATCTCTCATTGGCGGCATCTCTAGCTGGTGCTATTTTTGGGTCGCATCAAAAGGGCATCGGTCAGGATGAGATGAGGAGGACCCTGTGGCTGCGCTGGCGGCGCTGTTTGCTTCCCGGGCTGCCTTTTGCCTGCTTTGGACGTGGGGATGGGCGGAGAATAAGCAGAAATGAAGAATATCGCTAGGGGAAATGGCAATATGCACGCAGCAGCCGCGAGATCAGGTAAATATAGATGGATTCCATAAGACAAATCACATCCATCGCTGTGGCTGGAATCAGGAGCATCCCGTTTCTCATTTACAGGCAGCCTGTAGGGATGAATACAGTGCCGCCGACTGTGCTTCTGTTCCCCAGTGGGACGCCGTCAGCCGCGATCTCAAGGATTGGCCGTCAGCATCTGGTGCAATTGCAGGGCTGGGCTCCAAAGCGGAGACGGCCATGGCTGTTTTTCCTTCTTTTTTCTTTCCTTTGTGTCCACAGGCATACGAGGTTTCCGACGTGCCAACAACAAAGGGGACTACACAGGTACAGAGCCCACCGTATATCAGATTGGCACACACAGTACTGTAGCTGTAGAGCCTTCGCAACGCCTTTGACACGCCCGTGACCTGGAATGCGGGCAGAAACCAACCAACCAGCACCTATCAGCCCTTTGCACAAACGGCTCCAGGGAACACGGGCGCGGTTGGGACCATCCTGCACAAGGGAGGGGCAGCGTGATGACGACAGGTGATGCCCTTCTGCCTCCAGCCTCTGTCCAGCGCCGCGAGAAGCAGCACCATCGGCGCAGCCTTGGTTCACTACGGCTGTCTCACCGCAGACGCTAAGACGGGCTGATAAGGCGCCCTAAGCCAAACGTTGCCCAGCGGTCGTTTTAGAGGCTGTCCGCACACAGTGCCGGCGAGGTGGCTCAGCGTCCCCCCTCAAAGCCCCTTAGCGCAGTCCCCTATTCTGGGCCACTGTCCACTGCACTGTCCGCCGCCGCGCACTGTGCGCCCGTCCTCGTACTGTCCGAAACAAGCTGCCAGGGAAAGCAAGCTGCGTTTGGGGCATCTCCTGAATCGTTCGCGAGAGCCTTTTCCCTCCCCTTATTATTCTTTTCAGCCCACTACGCTTCGCCGTCAACCTTCACTCCTCCATCTTTCCCCAACCTTCAGTCCTACCGTCCGAGGCTGGTGCCTCATTGCTCGTATCGTTAGGGGTCGGGTTGCTTTCCGCAAACAAAGCTGGCATTGAAGCTCAATAGATTTTTCCTTCTCACTCTCTCGGGCTCCCCTTTTTTTCCTTCTTCCTACACTACCGTTGCACCTATTGGGAACCTAGGCGAGAGAGCCCCATCTAGACACGAATTACGACCACCGATAGAACGCTCTTTAGCATTACGACTCCAACAGCCATCGTCTTGATACCATCTTTAGAAGAAAAGAAAAAGAAACAAACATGGCTTTCAACGGTCCCGGCGGCGGCCAAGGCGGGGGACATCCGCTCCAGGATCTTCCCTCAGGCAGTAGCGTGAGTAACCACCATATCAAGCTGGGAAAAGAAGGGGGAGACAGGGCAGGTCGGACAAGCTTGGCTAACGCTGCTTTTGTTTTCCATCGTCTAGTATCACCTCCCCCCTCACGAGCAAGAGGAAGAGGCCGGACGGTATCTGCTGAATGAGCCTGGCTCGCATGGCTACGAGCACGATCGACTTGGTGCTGGGACTCCCCCCGACCGCCCAGTCTCGGCTTACAGTCTCACCGAGTCCTATGCTCCGGGAGCCTCGCCCATCGGCACTCCTGGCCTGGGCAGCGACAACGGATACCAGTACGGACAGGGGCCTGGATACGACTTCCCCCGCCCCGCCTCCACTGTCCACGACAACGACGACGACAGCTGGGTGCAGAGACAGCAGCAGCCCGCCGGCGGCGGTCTGAAGCGTTACAACACCCGAAAGGTCAAGCTTGTCCAGGGCTCCGTCCTGTCCATCGACTACCCCGTGCCCAGTGCCATCAAGAACGCGATCCAGCCTCAGTACCGCGATGTCGAGGGCGGCAACGAGGAGTTCGTCAAGATGCGGTACACCGCCGCCACCTGTGACCCCAACGACTTCACCCTGAAGAACGGCTACGACTTGCGGCCGCGCATGTACAACCGTCACACCGAGCTGCTGATTGCCATTACATACTACAACGAAGACAAGGTCTTGCTTGCCAGAACTCTGCACGGTGTGATGCAGAACATCCGCGACATTGTCAACCTCAAGAAATCGACCTTCTGGAACAAGGGAGGTCCTGCCTGGCAGAAGATTGTCGTGTGCTTCGTCTTTGACGGTATCGACAAGGCTGACAAGAACACCCTGGACGTGCTCGCCACTATCGGTGTGTACCAGGACGGTGTCGTCAAGAAGGATGTCGACGGCAAGGAGACCGTCGCTCACATCTTCGAGTACACCAGTCAGCTCTCCGTCACGCCCAACCAGCAGCTCATCCGACCCTCTGGTGACAGCCCGCAGAATCTGCCCCCCGTGCAGTTCATCTTCTGTTTGAAGCAGCAGAACACCAAGAAGATCAACTCTCACCGTTGGCTGTTCAACGCCTTTGGCCGAATCTTGAACCCCGAAGTCTGCATTCTTCTTGATGCTGGTACCAAGCCCAGCCCCCGCTCGCTGCTGGCTCTGTGGGAGGGCTTCTACAACGACAAGGACCTCGGCGGTGCTTGTGGTGAGATTCACGCCATGTTAGGCAAGGGCGGCAAGAAGCTGCTCAACCCCCTGGTCGCCGTGCAGAACTTTGAGTACAAGATCTCCAACATTCTCGACAAGCCCCTGGAGTCTTCGTTTGGCTACGTCAGTGTGTTGCCCGGTGCCTTCTCGGCTTACCGATTCCGGGCCATCATGGGACGTCCTCTGGAGCAGTACTTCCACGGTGATCACACCCTGTCCAAGATTCTCGGCAAGAAAGGTATCGACGGCATGAACATCTTCAAGAAGAACATGTTCTTGGCCGAAGATCGTATTCTCTGTTTCGAGCTGGTCGCCAAGGCTGGTCAAAAGTGGCATCTGACCTACATCAAGGCCGCCAAGGGTGAGACAGACGTTCCCGAAGGTGCTGCCGAATTCATCAGTCAGCGTCGTCGTTGGCTCAACGGTTCGTTCGCCGCCTCTCTGTATGCGCTGATGCACTTTGGCCGCATGTACAAGAGTGGACACAACATCATCCGCATGTTCTTCTTGCACATTCAGCTCATCTACAACTTCCTCAACTTGATCTTCTCCTGGTTTTCTCTGGCTTCCTACTACCTGACCACCACGGTCATCATGGACCTTGTTGGCACCCCGGTTATCGCTTCCTCCAACTCGTCTGAGCACCACGGCTGGCCTTTTGGAGATGAGGCGACGCCCATCATCAACACGCTGCTCAAGTACCTCTATCTCGCGTTTGTTATCCTGCAGTTCATCCTTGCTCTGGGTAACAGGCCGAAGGGTTCCAAGTTTACGTATATCGCCTCCTTCATGCTCTTTGCGCTGATTCAGGGCTACATCTTGGTTCTCTCCGTCTTCCTGGTCGTGCAAGCGTTCAACACACCCATCGAAGACCAGATCAACTTTGACTCTGGAGAAGACTTTGTCAAGAGTTTCTTCTTTGGAGCAGGTGCTGCCGGTGTCATCATTATCGCCCTGATCACCATTTACGGCCTCTACTTCATCGCTTCTTTCCTCTACCTGGACCCCTGGCACATGTTCCACTCTTTCCCCCACTACCTGCTGCTCATGTCGACCTACATCAACATTCTCATGGTGTACGCGTTCAACAACTGGCACGACGTGTCCTGGGGTACCAAGGGTTCCGACAAGTCCGAGGCTCTTCCGTCTGCCAACGTGCAGAAGGGCGAGAAGAACGAAGTAGTTGTTGAGGAAATCGAGAAGGAACAGGAGGATATCGACAGCCAGTTCGAGCAGACTGTGCGACGAGCCCTGGCTCCCTTCAAGGAGGAGGAGGAGATTGAGAAGAAGGACGTGGAGGACGGTTACAAATCTTTCCGTACCGGTCTGGTCGTCTCTTGGTTGTTTTCCAACATCATCCTCATCATTGGTGTCACCACCGACGACTTTGCTCAGTCCGGTTTTGTGGTAAGTAGTAGCATCTCTTGGTCGGCTTCTTTCGCATAACCTGATAGTTTACTAACCACCGCAACAGGGAACTGCCTCCAGCCGTACTGCCAACTTCTTCAAGTTCCTTCTGTACGCTACCGCCGTGCTGTCTCTGATCCGCTTCATCGGTTTCCTCTGGTTCCTGGGCAAGACGGGTCTCATGTGCTGCTTCGCCAGAAGGTAAAAATAGAAAGCAAATGGGTGCGGCCCCCGGTGAGGAGCATCAGTGAGGGTGAAGGTGAGGGCGAGCGCGGTGGTTTCCCAGGCATATTACGGGCCCGCCTAGTAGACAAACTCTTTCATATACAGATACCTTGGCTTGTAACGTTATTAAGGCATTAATGTTTTCAGCATGTTTCTTTGTTCTTGGGATGGATAGGCGACTTGAGACCACCAAAAAAAGTTTTGCAGATAGTTTGGAAGAATGTTTGTGGTGTACCTACTGAGTACATGTAGAGAATGCAAGGCAGGATAGAGGGGAACAAAGGGAACATATTCAAAACAATTGATGATTTATTTTGCTTATAAACTGCTGATATATCGAATGCTTTGCATCAGGTACCTCGGATCTGAGTGTGCTGATTCGAAGGTTCCGCCTCCTTCTCCTGCCGCCGCCTAAACTCCGGCCGCTGACCCAATATACTACGGAGGATTCCGACGGTACCCCAGACGCTTACCTTATCTCCTTATCGGCGTTGTGTGACAGCATACAGGTCAACAAGCACCGAATCGCTCCCCGCGAATGACGGATCTCCAGTTCCGCAAACGAAACCTCGACTTTTCGAAAGACGAAAAAGAAACAGCTCTCTGAACGACTCTCCTCTTTCCGGCCCAGCGGTCCAGTTTGTTACTCTACTTCTCCGTTCCATCCCGACATACATCATCTCTGCTTTCCCCCTTCCATCTATTTGCGAGACCGGGCCATTTTAGGATACCGCTTCTCTCTTCTCACGTTTCCTTCCCTCACACCGGCGAGAAGACCCCTTCGAAGAATCAAGCAGCCGAAGATGTTGAACATATGGTCTATGGTATTTCTTGGACATGTGGGCCTCTTGAGGTTGCCAGAGAGAGATTCCTAACGTTTGGTTTTCTTAAAACAGAAAAAGAAGCAAAAGGAGGCTGAGAATGCCGAGGGGCAGGCAGCCGGAGGCAAGCGGAAGAAGGTGACGGCGGCACAGCTGCGAGTACAAAAAGGTTACCCCCTCCCCCCCCTCTCTCTCTCCTGTTGCCTCTTTTCCCCTGGAGTCTTGATCCTTTCTTCTGTTTTAGCGCTTGCGATGGCTAACATTCTGCTGGGACGGATAAAACAGACTTGTCAGAGCTATCTCTGGGCACGACGATGAAGACGGAATTCCCCGACCCGGACAACATCCTCAACTTTATCCTGTCGATCGAGCCGGACGAGGGCATGTACCGGGGCGGCAGGTTCACGTTCGACTTCGCCATCAACCAAAACTTCCCGCACGAGCCGCCCAAGGTGCTGTGCAAGGAGAAGATTTACCACCCCAACATTGATCTCGAGGGCAAGGTGTGCCTGAACATTCTGCGGGAGGACTGGAAGCCCGTGCTGAACTTGAATGCGGTCATTGTGGGGTTGCAGGTATGACAACACATTCAGCACATGCTCTTTTGGTTCAGAAAGATATGCGGAGATGGGGGAGAGAGTCCCGGGAAGAAGGGTGGTGAAAGCCTGTGGTCAGGATGGTGATGCTGACTTGGGGGATATAGTTCTTGTTCTTGGAGCCCAACGCTTCGGATCCCCTCAACAAAGAGGCTGCTGACGACCTGAGAAGCAATCGGGAGGGCTTCAAGAGGAATGTCCGGACGGCGATGAGTGGAGGCACCGTCAAGGGCACGGCATACGACCGTGTTCTCAAATAAGTTGGGAGGGTTCGAGGAACAAAAAAAGACACCGAGTCTTCTGTGGAGTGCAAAGAGACCTATCTCACGTTTTGAAGGGCTTGGGATGGGCGGAGAGGAGATGGGAGCAGATTGCGGCAACCGGCGACGAGCAACCGACATACTACACATAGAAACAGGTACCTTGTGTACATTACCCGACATCTGACATGTTCTTCGCGGAAGAGACGGTGTCTTGTCAGGAAGCTGGCTAGTGCTTGGACCAGAGGATGATATGCCGCCGCTTTCTCTCCTCGGTTGGGGCCTGGTCGCGGGGTTTCACCTATTTATATACTACTTACTACCTTAACTTTCATTGAGTCGACAGTACAGCATAGAAATACATGGCGTTCATTGCAAGGTGGTGACGTTGTCCAGTGTTCTGGGGATTATACCGAACATCTACTACTGCTGTTTCGGAAATACCATGACTGGGGATCAATATCAAGACTGAAGCTCCATCTGTAATCCATCCCCGCCTTCCTAGTCACCGAATCTCAACACGATGCCACGACAGCATAGTAATGATACACTTGGCTTTTTCGCATGAAATGTCCCGAAATGGCCTGATATATGATCATTCATATCATATCAGTAGTACCTAGGTAGGTATGTACCACACTGCCTTATGACAGCCCTGCTGTGTCAAGCCAGTTGGTTTGTTAGCGTAGACTGAAACCTGAGCAATTCGGTTGACACACGAGGACATGCATCATCTGGCCAAGACATTTGGTCCTTGCATATCAAGATTCAGGGAGAGACACGGAGTGATTGACACTTTTGATGGTCGGTAGGTGTTGAAGGATGTGGCGGGATTGGGATTAGTAGCTGCTTAGTATAGACTATGCGGGCTGTCAAGTAGGCATGCAGGGAAGCAAGACAGCAGTACTAAGAAGAAGAAGAGAAATAATACAAGTTCCAACAGTGAGTAATGGGTAAGCTCGCTGGCCTGCGTAATAGGTCAGTATACTATAGGTACGAATAGTGAGCATACCCCCCAGAGTTCAATCTACCGGTAACGTTGAAATTGTAAGATATGTTTCAATAAGAGGTCGGGAAAGGGTGCTTGTAGATAACGGAGTAGACGGGGAAGTGAGATTGGCGAGAGCCGGATGGAGCTTCAGCTTGGTGTTGATACAGAAAGGTATGTGATGTGTCTACATGGAGGAAATTGGGATATTCCGAGTTCGGTTACATGCAATTACCTTAATCATGTATTATATATCTACAAAGCATGGGCAATTCGTGACGACGGTAATAGGAAACGTTCCATTGGGTGCATGGGAGTCACCAAGCTGATGCTTGTCAAAGAAGCCAGATTTTACGGCGGCAATGGTCGTGGAGAAGTGGTGGGGGGCGCTTGAGCCCAGTGGTTCTTGTTAGTGCAGCCCAGCGGATGCGTCATCTCACGGCCCGGGGCAAAAGAAGAGCAGCTTCGTCGTGATGGTGATGGTGATGGTGATGGTGACGAGGGGACTGTTCATAGCCTTGCAGAGCCAGTATGCAAGACGTCTAGCTGGGTGAATTGCGTTGGAATTGCTATTCTCTTGATGCTGAGAGCGCAATGGCTGTTGTACTATGTTTGCTGAGGTGTACTTGAATGGAATAATATGGCAGTAATACTACCGTGCCGGTACAGTCAGCTGAAGCCATCGCCGGCTCTGCTCACAACAATGCTAGGTACCTACCAAGCAGGGCCCAACGCACCCCATAAGACATCCATTACATGCACAACGTAAGGCTGGGCCAGCCTGTCCGTCACGTCTCTGTTACTCATCGCACTGACTGTATTTTTGCGATAAACCCGCTATTAATACAGGGCCAGACTAATAATTCGGATCATTACAAGGTACAGGCAGCCCTTTTTCACATGCAGTGGGAACCGGGGGGGTTCGAAAAATACCTACTAGGTAGTAGTCGCTGGGACTTGACAGGCACAGGTTGAAAGAGCTGCCACCGAGATCGGGCCCTTGGACTTGGGACAAGCTGAGGCCTTTCCCCCACCCACCACTTCAAAAGGCGACCAAGTTTCTTGTTGCTCATCTTCCCCCAAAAAGGCTCGGAACTCTTTTTCCTTTTTCCTTTCCCTTTCTTTTCCTTCTCCCATACCACATCGCTTCTTCGTTTCCTCTTCCTCCTCACTCTCCCCTCTTCATCATCATCCACATCATCACGCACAATGGCTTCAAAAGCTTTCTCCAAGACCCTGCGAGCGGCCACTGCCCGCCAGCTGATTGCGCCCCGCGTGGCCCAGCGCTCCTACATCGCCGCTCGAAGCGCCACTCGTGCCGTCGCTGCTGCTCGCCCGGCTCTGGCTGGTCTGTCCCAGCAGCAGGCTCGCGGCCTCAAGACCGTCGACTTTGCCGGTGTCAAGGAGGACGTCTATGGTACGTTGCAATTGCTGTGTGTGTGTGTGATCTAAGATCTGACAATGGTTGCTGTGCAGAGCGTGCCGACTGGCCCCAGGAGAAGCTTCTGGTGAGTAGCTGGCGAGTCCTCAAAAGAGTCATCCGCGGGTCTCAAGCAGAAAGGAAGACCCGGCATCTGATTCCAATTCATCTTGCATGGCTTGGAACAGTGTCGTGGATGGCCAATTGGCAAGTGATATGTGTGACTGACACAATTGCCTGCAGGACTACTTCAAGAACGACACCCTCGCCCTCATCGGCTACGGCTCCCAGGGTCACGGCCAGGGCCTCAACCTGCGCGACAACGGCCTCAACGTCATTGTCGGTGTCCGAAAGAACGGCAAGTCATGGAACGATGCCATCCAGGACGGCTGGGTTCCCGGCAAGAACCTGTTCGAGGTTGACGAGGCTATCACCCGTGGTACCATTGTCATGAACCTCCTCAGTGATGCCGCCCAGTCCGAGACTTGGCCCTCCATCAAGCCCCAGCTGACTGAGGGAAAGGTGAGACAGCCCTTTGATTTGATTTGAGGCGCAACCGTACTTCGAATGGTGACTAACATGGCGCCCTCCCGCCGCAGACCCTGTACTTCTCCCACGGCTTCTCCCCCGTCTTCAAGGACCTCACCAAGGTCGATGTCCCCAAGAACATCGACGTCATCCTTTGCGCTCCCAAGGGCTCTGGCCGAACTGTGCGCTCCCTCTTCCGCGAGGGCCGTGGCATCAACTCCTCCTTCGCCGTCTACCAGGACGTGACCGGCAAGGCCGAGGAGAAGGCCGTCGCCCTGGGCGTCGCCATTGGCTCGGGCTACCTGTACAAGACCACCTTTGAGAAGGAGGTCTACTCTGACCTGTACGGTGAGCGTGGCTGCCTGATGGGCGGCATCCACGGCATGTTCCTCGCCCAGTACGAGGTCCTCCGTGAGCGCGGCCACAGCCCCAGCGAGGCCTTCAACGAGACCGTCGAGGAGGCCACCCAGAGCCTGTACCCTCTGATTGGCGCCAACGGCATGGACTGGATGTTCGAGGCCTGCTCCACCACCGCCCGCCGTGGTGCCATTGACTGGACCCCCAAGTTCAAGGACGCCCTGAAGCCCGTCTTCAACAGCCTGTACGACAGCGTCAAGGATGGCTCCGAGACCAAGCGATCGCTCGAGTACAACAGCCAGCCCGACTACCGCCAGAAGTACGAGGCCGAGCTGGAGGAGATTCGAAACCTGGAGATCTGGAGAGCCGGCAAGGCCGTCCGGTGAGTCACAAACTTTTCATCCTTTCCATGAACATTTGGCTAACAGCGTCACCTCTTTGTAGCTCCCTGCGACCCGAGAACCAGAAATAAGCCAGTCTGAGTGGAAAGTTGACGGGTGATGTTGAGGGGAATCTATCGGGGTGAATTGGTGTTTTCTCTCTCTTGTTTTCTTCTTGTACTTGCATATGGATACTCGGCAAAAAAAGATCACGGTGATCCGGGTTGACGAGGGCATACCACTGTGGTTGAGTTGTTGCAAAACAAAAAAAGTTTGGGCCTTTTTTTCACGATACCGCGCATGGGGAGACAATGAATTCTCATTCGATACACACACACACACACAGAGAGAGACTGCTATCTTGACTCTCACCATTTCGTAGACTTGACCACACTTTGACTCCTGCCCAATCCGTACATTCGGCACAACTTGACACAACCAAATCGGTCAATTGTCCGTATTCTCCCGTCATTGGAAGTTTGCGAACGACTGTCGTTGTGCCCATGAGTCGAGAAAAGGTCCAGAAGCGGGTCCCCTGGGCTCCGGCTTCGGCCATTTGCGAGATTCTTGGACATGGGCAATGGAGGAGCTCCCAGAGGCTGGGGTTTGGGTTGCCATTACATACTGATGACTTTTAAACAAAGAGCACATGTATCCATCCGGCCCATCTCCCGTGGGCCCGGATGTCGCCATCCGTCTTTTCTTGCTTGTGTGTGTCCGGGCCGGTTGGAGTTTTTGCGCCAAAACAAGGCCGGAGTTTTGGGATTTTGGAGAATGGGGGGGAATGTGGGAAGAGGGACGGGTGGGGGGGCTGGAGGTGGGTTATATAGGTAGGTAATTGAGTGGCTACGATATGTGCGGATTCTGGCAGCCTTGTTTAATAGTATTTCATCTTTGAAGTCTTAGTTTCTCTTCATGTTGTTGTGCAGGTATGGGTTTGACTGGCTGGGATAAAGATCTTTTATTGCTTGCTGTGGGAAGATGGGACTCTAGTTTTCTGTCTATTGGCAAGCTAGCGTTCTTACCTCCTATTGTCGCGTTGAATGGAGGCGCCTGAGTTGGGATCTTTTATTTTGCTGAAAAGGGCTGGAAAGATGGACTTGTTCTGTTATTGAGCTCGATATGGTGGCATGGAATTGTTTCTCGTGATTCCAGGCTGCAATTGGCGCCACTTCATGATTCAGCCTTGTCATTGATGAGGTACATGCATGCTGACACCTGCTTGAACAGACGCTGACAGCGGAGCCTGAAAATGCCTGCATAAGTACCAGCGAACGCTGAGAAGAGCCAAGTAACGATTCCAACGACAAAAAGTTGTCACTACTTGTCGAGACTACATAGTAATAAGGAAAGAAAGTATTGTGATCCGGAGAGGTTCGAAAGGCGACACGCGATGGCAGACCAGAGCATCTACTGCGGCAACGTGTCATTAGTAGTGCCTTGGGCAGCGTATGTACGAGGATCAATAGATTGAGTCGTCAATTGATGAGCCCCCCAAAACGGGGTCCCGCGGCCAGAGACCCTGATGGGAGGGATCAATCGTTTCGTAATGGAGGTGTCGATGCCAAAGTAGAGTCTACGGGTCTCCTGGGCGACAATGGAGGCAGAGCACTAGGTACAAGAGACTTGCGCAAGACTTGGAAACATCGCTGAGGACGTGCTCAGACCTTCTAAAAGCTGCGTTAGTGGCGCGGCTTCCAGCCTCTAGCGTCGCCCCCTACCTAGCGCCGGTAGCAGTACAACGCTTCAAGGCCGCTTGCTGGTTTTGATGGTGCGGCCGCGGCGAGACGACGAGAGGACTGCAGGTACCTGTACCCCCGACGACGAGGATTGACGTCTCTATTCACGGCGGTTTCGACGGAGGGCCACGACAGCAGCCTGCATCTTCAAGTTCTTGCCCATCTTTTCCATTTGTTTTTTGTTTTCTTCTGCCTCTTCTTCCGCTGCTCTTCTTTTGCGCATCATTATACTCTTCCGCTGGTCCGTCTTCTTGGGCAGCCCGAGGAGAAGAGATCTCCTTGAATCTGGGTGAGTCGGCTTTCCCCTGAGTGATTGGCGGCGGATGGCGCAGCCTTGCCTTTGCGTTTCGACCGACGGTGGCGAGTTGCGACAGGCGTCTCGACTCCTGAACCCGCACCTGCAAGTCGAACACGACTCTCGATTCGCGACCTCTGGACATCTGCTAACAGCTACTACTTTGAAGACGGCACGTCTTGATTCACCACTCGATCTGTTCAAGGGGGGGAAACAACGAAGACGCTGAGCTCCATGTGCTGGTAGCTGCAACTCGCTCGCCTCCAACGCACGCCCATCCCTTTCTTTCTTTGCGCCAGCTCCCTCCCCCGTGGGCGCTCTGCCCTTTTCCCTTTTCAGTTTTGCTTTTCCGCCGCCATGAAGATTTCTTCGGTTCTCGGGCTCGCCGGCCTGGTGGCCCTGTCGCAGGCCGCCAGGATCGCCAGAGACTACGACAAGAACGACTACTACGTCCTGCATCTCGACCGCTCAGTACAGCCTGCCGACGTTGCCGCGCGCCTGGGCCTGACGCACGAGGGCCAGCTCGGAGAGCTCACCGACCACCACGTCTTCCGCGCCGAGAAGGATGAGCGAGATTTGGTGAGGGACGAGGTTCGGGAGCGCAAGAGGAGGAAGCGAGACCTTGGCGGGTTCGACGTTCTCGACGGCGTCCTTTTGATAACCAAGCAAAAGGCTCGCAACCATTTGCAAAAGAGAATCATTCCGCCGCGTCCGCCCAGCGATTTGCTGCCCCGCCTGCCTCAATCGCCGGACGCTACTGTTGTCAAGATGCAAGAGAGTGTCATGGAGGAGCTGCAGATTTCCGACCCGATATTCAAGGAGCAGTGGCATCTGCTCAACACGGTGCAGGTTGGCCACGACGTCAATGTAACTGGGCTTTGGCTCGAGGGCATCACGGGCAAGAACGCGACTGTCGCTATGGTCGACGACGGCTTGGACATGTACAGCCGGGATCTGAAGGACAATTACTTCGCCGAAGGCTCGTGGGACTTCAACGACAACGACCCGGAGCCGAAGCCCGAGCTGTCCGACGACAGGCACGGAACCAGATGCGCCGGCGAGATCTCTGCTGTCCGCAACGATGTGTGCGGCCTCGGCGTTGCCTACGACTCCAAGATTGCCGGCATTCGCATCCTTAGTAGTGCCATCAGCGATGCGGACGAGGCCGAGGCCATGATTTACAAGTTCCAGGACAACCAGATCTACTCCTGCTCTTGGGGGCCTCCGGACGATGGCCGATCCATGGAAGCCCCCGACGTCCTCATCCGACGAGCCATGCTCAAGGGCGTCCAGGAGGGCCGAGGAGGTCTCGGCTCCATCTATGTCTTTGCTAGTGGTAACGGTGCCGCTAGCGGCGACAACTGCAACTTTGATGGATACACCAACTCCATCTACAGCATTACGGTTGGCGCCGTTGATCGTGCCGGCCAGCACCCGTATTATTCGGAGCACTGCTCTGCCCTGCTCGTGGTCACCTACAGCAGCGGTGGCGGTGACGGTATAGTGAGTGCTGTTCCCCAACTCCCCCCTTTTCAAGTCACCGTCGGTAGCTGACCCATGGCAGCACACTACTGATGTCGGAGAAAACTCCTGCTATGGCATGCATGGTGGTACGTCGGCCGCGGCACCGCTTGCGGCGGGTATCTTTGCCTTGGTCATGCAAGTCCGTCCGGACCTGACGTGGAGAGACCTCCAGTACCTTGCCATGGACACGGCCGTCCAACTGGCCGACCAGACAGATGCTGAGTGGCAGACGACTGCCGCTGGGAGACAATTCAGCCATACCTTTGGTTATGGCAAGATTGACTCGTACTCACTGGTTGAAAAGGCCAAGACGTGGCAGAAAGTGAAGCCCCAGGCCTGGTTTTTTTCCCCTTGGCTGCACATCAAAAAGGACATTCCCCAAGGCAACGACGGCTTGGTTGTGAGCTTTGACGTGACCGCCGACATGCTCAAGGAGGCCAACTTGGCTCGTCTGGAGCATGTCACCGTCACCATGAATGTCGAGCATACTCGACGTGGCGATTTGAGCGTGGATCTCATCAGTCCCGAGAACGTCATCAGCCATATTGCGGTGACTCGCAAGCAGGACGACCACAAGGGCGGTTACGATGACTGGACCTTTATGAGTGTAGCTCACTGGTAAGCTTTTCTCTCACCTTGCAGGTGTTATCGGGACGATTCAAGTTGATACTAATGCTTTCATCAGGGGCGAGTCTGGCGTTGGAAGGTGGACGCTGGTGGTGCGAGACACGGAGGTGAACAGCGAAAAGGGCAACTTCATCGACTGGCACCTCAAGCTTTGGGGCGAGAGCATCGATGCCAGCCAGGCCCGGATCCTGCCCATGCCGTCAGAGGATGACGACGCCGACCACGATCTGATCGTATCTACCGTGTCGGGTGCGGCGTCGACCAAGTCCCTCTCGGTAGCAAGCTCAACCAAGACGGCTGCGGCAACCGTTCCCACTGATCACCCCGTGCGGCCGACGAAGCCCGGAGCCAAGCCTACGGAGACGAAGAAGCCTCAAGAGGGCACTGCGGACGGAAAGCCGACCGACACCGAGCACGACAAGGTCGCCTCTGGGACTCCCGCCGCGCCGCCATCCAGCACGACCAGCGCGTCCTCGTGGGTGTCGTGGCTTCCCACGTTTGGAACCAAGGCCAAGATCTGGATCTACGGCGCCATGGGCTTGATCGCCGCCTTCTGCTGCGGCCTGGGCGTCTACCTCTGGATCGCCCGCCGGCGCCGCCTGCGCAACAACCCCCGCAACAACTACGAATTCGAGCTCCTCGACGAGGAGGAGACGGAAGGCCTCAACAGCGCGGAGAAGGGACCCGGCGGCGCGGGCAAGAAGTCTCGCCGGACCCGCGGCGGGGAGCTGTACGACGCGTTTGCGGGCGGGAGCGACGACGACGACGAGTTTGACGAGTACAGGGATCGGGCGGCCGACAGGCTGGCCGGGCATAACCCCGATGATGAGCTGCCGGAGCATTACGTCGTTGGGGAGGAGGAGGAGAGCGATGATGATGATGATGATGAAGCCGAGAAGCAGAGGTTACGGCGTTAAAAAGAAACATAGATCCATACCGCTTGTTTGGCTTTTGGAGTTTTTTTTTTTCCTTTTCACTTTTCTGTTCGATGAAGGAAGGGGTGATGATGCTTTGCATTGTTTAGACGGGGTATGTCTTATGGGTGTTTTTGGCTTTGCATTACCTGTATGTTATATCATCATGGATAGGCATTATTCATTATATCGAGTCTTCTTTCCCATACTTGACTTTTGTCGTCTTCCTTGATGGGGGCCGTGTACCTACTGAGATACCCATCTTCAAGGATTGCTGATTTTACTATTGGGGATTCATTTCAAAGTGAGGTACACTTAATGACCCTCCCCAGCGATGATTATCCTCGATTTGCTCCGTTTAATGAAACATCACACTCATTTCTGATATTGACAAAGTTCACACAAGTTTTATGGACAAACGCCACACCATAGCTAAGTAACTATCCCAAACGCCCGAAACATTGCATACACCACCACGCTTCTTTGCATCCCCCCCCCCCCCCCCCCCCCCCC